ACATACCCATTTGATCAAGCTATCACAAAGCGCACGGCGATCCATAAGTATCTGAAATGAAAAAGTCACATAGATGCCTTCGGCATTCTTTCAAAATCATTAAAAGTGCGTTCTTTTTTAGAAGCATACTTAACAAAAGCGGATATCCGGATGTAGGCTGGAAAGGACACAAAACTTCCTGTGTAGAGATAGATTATTTCTACTATTCGAAAATGAAAGAGGAAGATACAGAGACCTGTCTTAATATTTGTTCAATTCAAGTTCAGATAGTGTGATGCTGTCTCTCTCTCTCTCCGTTTATACCAAACGGACGTTAGAACAAGAGAATTTTACAATCTTAATCGTACTTCTTTCAAATTTTATTGCTTCTTTATCCAGCCAAGATAAGAATAACTGAGCTGATGTGTAATCCTGACGACAGAAAGAGTTCGAGATCATGTAATGATTCATGCTGTTTATCTTCTATGACTAATATAATTCGACACCAACTCCTTTCCTTCCGCTACAATAAATCATATTCTTCTACGAACAAAAACTTAGCTCAGTACAAAAAAAATCAATCATAGCGACGACGATTCCAGGAGTAGTTCTCGTTCAGCGCAGTGATTGGTTACAAATCTCCATTGAACTCGTAAAATCTTTCTTGTTAAGTAAATTGTTCTGTTTGTCGCTAGTATCTCTAAGCCATAAAAAAAAAAGTCGCCTCTCTTGCAGAAAAACATGACAACAATGCCAAGATGGCGACATTTCTATTTAGAAATTCTCGCAAAGTTTCTATTCAGTATATTTATTATTGTTTTTTGCAGATCGATATTTTACTGTGATCAAGAGGAAATTAATTAAACTATGTAAACACTTTTTGTTCGAATATTGTAATTGAATCAACATTGATGATCGTTTAGGGCATCACCATCGACATATGAAAATCCACCCCGTTCAACACAATACCAATCGACAAAGCGATTTGACAATCTTCAAGCCGATGTGAATCAAGTACGAAAAAAGAAGATAGGTCAATTTTTGTCAAAATTGTTCGTTTCGCACAGGTTGTCGATGTTATGAAAGACAATTTGGAAAAAGTTTTGGAACGTGATGCCAAACTAACGACACTTGAAAATCGCGCCGGTGAGTAGTCAATAAGGTCATCCGGTTAGTAGAATGCAGATGTATTTCTTTGAAGATATTTTGCAAACTGGTGCATCGCAGTTCACCACCAATGCTAATAAATTAAAACGCAAGTATTGGTGGAAAAATATTAAAGTAAACTATGACGTTCTTGTCCCTTTTCCCCGAAAAAAAAATTGCTTGTTTTAGATGTGGGCTATTTTAATCATTTTAATTGTAAGTCATATTCGATTACATCGTTTGCACCAAATCATATTCTCTTTTTTCTTCTAGATTGTTTTGATCATTATCATTGTCGGTAAGAATTTCAATGATTAAAACTTAAAAAAAACGCGTATCTTATATGTACTAATCTAGTCGCTGTCACTCAATCAGTAAAAGGCGGTGATAGCAGTGGCAGTAATAATAGTAACAATGGCAATAATAATAATAATAATACTACTCGTACGCCTGGAAATTAAGACAAATACGAGTTCGAAGGATCGTAAGTTAATGATGATTCTTTCTAATTTATGTAATTAACTCTTGATTTTCTCTGTAGAATACTCTTCAATGAAGACATTATCCGCGTGATTTTTCATATGCTTACGCTTCTTTACATTCCTTCAGTGGTCATATCTGTCCATGTATCTTTTATGATCTTTGTTTTTATAACTTCTTCTTCTATTTGCATACTCTCTTTCAAAAGATCTTATTTTGGCTTCTTTTATTCGTCCATATTTATACTTCAGTTGTGCACGAGACTTATCTAAGCATCGAATGATGGGATTTTACATATTTAAATGCGAATATTTTTTTTTCTAGATTTTTTTTCAATTGTAAAAGTCAGTTTACTCAGAACATGTAAGTGTACATGGGAGAGATCGATTTGGTGGATTTTGTTATTATTGACTAGGTCTACTAATGGTGGTGGTGGTGCCGCAGCACCAGCTGCGGGCGGTGGCGGATCGAAACGTTTAGCGCAACAACAGGCCCAAGTCGATGAAGTTGTTGATATTATGCGACAAAATGTAGATAAGGTGTTAGAACGTGATAAAAATCTATCACTTCTTGATGATCGAGCTGGTAAGAACATCATTGCATGTGAAGATGTTTCTATGTGCTGATTTTGCTGTTCAGATAAATTACAACATAATGCAGCTCAATTTGAGCAACATGCGGGCAAATTAAAACGGAAATACTGGTGGAAAAATATGAAGGTAAGAAACCGAGTGATTGCTTTTTAAGTTTTACTTATTATTTTTTAATAAAATTAATCGACATTTTTCTAATGGGGATTATTAGATGATGATTATCATGGGAGTAGTGGGTACTATTTTTGCGATAGTGGTGATAGGTAAAAGTCGATGTTGTCTCTTTGTTCTTTCGGTCTTCATTCGCACGTATTGTCATGTGCTTCGATTTCAATAATCATTCGAAATCTAAACTATCTTGATCTTTGTTTAGGATGGATCGCTTCAAAAGTTAAAGAAGTTGCACCTGCACCTCCAGCTGCTGAAGCAACAACGCCCATCGCCGTGGTAAACAATGCTGAAGCCAATTCAGCTGCTGGTTCTGCCAGTGGTAATGCGGGAAGAAAAGTAACCAAAGCTCATAAGAAGAAGAAGAAAACCAAAACAACCAAAGCGGTTAGTACAACAACACCGACGAACAACGACGGTGGACGTTCTCCCGATGGAGATGAGAATGAGGAAGAAGAAGAAGATGCTAAACCGTCTGGTAGACGAAACCGACGTGCACTTTTACATTTCTAAACTAACGTCATCAAACAATAGACAACATCTTTCTTCATTCCATCACCATGCACATTCATCACGATGACCCACTCTGCATACTTTCTTTGCTTATTTTTCTTTCTTTCTCTCTCTCTTTCTCCTCCTTTCATGTTGTTTGTTATCATGTTTCTTGTTGTTCGTAAACCAAATTAATACGTATATTTATATCCACAAAGAAAAGCATATTTATTTTTAGTGCGCATCATCCTTTCACTGAGTATTTAACTTTCATTCTTTAATAGTCTTCTATACATACATAAATAAAAGTCGTTTTGTTCCCTTTACTTTTAAATTAGTAAAAAAAGACCATTCTTTTATATATGAACATCGGCAACGGGATGAAATTTTTCTTGAAAAGTCCTCAGTTGAGCTTTAAAGTTATCTAAATCAGTGTAGCATCCTTTGAGCCATCGACTACCGCTCGATGCATCGAATTCTCGTCGTGCATGAAGAATTCGTCGATTATGAAATATAACACATTGGTCTTTCTTTAACATGAGCTCGTATGAATTGCTCGGCTCTTCTAATAAATCACGGAATTGTTGAAATGCTTGAATAAATTGTCGAAACTCGTCTTTTGATGTATCACTCTCAAACGGTGCTTGAAATGGTGGTGAATAATTAATATGATCGATACGTTGATCGGATGAAAACGGATTTAGGACAATAGTCGGTCGAGTGAAATGATAATGCCGACCGGCATTTCGATAATGAAAAGTAACGGGATATGAACAGAGTAGGCGAAATGCTTGAGGGTTTTGTCGACGAAGTGTTTCAGCTGCTCGAAATGCGTCAACATAATACGATGCTCCGCCTTGAACATCATTCGTCAATGAATGTAGAAATTGCAAACCGGGTGGTGCTTCAAAGTATAATAAATCCATATGCAAGCCGAGTGCTTGCGATGTGTAAGCAACATTGATCGCTTTTTCAGTACTTTTCACATCCCAAGATTTGCCGTAGAATGTGTGACGAATTTCTCCAATTCTTTCAGTTAGTTGTTCAACAGCCAGTTCTCCTTGAACGTTATCAATGAAGATTAAACCATAATCATTTAGGAGTTTTAATGCATGATAAAGTCCTCGATCGGAATGAAGATAATCGTTACATTGAACACGAAGATTGACACTTTCGATAACCTTTCGATTCCAGTAGACCGAGGGACGATCATGATATCTTGCTCGCGCAATATTACTCGATGATGAATAAGTTCGTAACCAAACATTTGAATATGAACTACGATGTTCAGTTATATCTTGATGGTTTAGTAATGGTTTATTCCACAGTATTTCAAGATTATTGTCATTCGAAATCTGTGCTCCTCTGTTTTGCGGAGCAATCGTTAGGGGAACATCAGTTGTATTGTGCAGTTTTTGCCGAGTTGATGGATCGGTACATCGTGCACATTGACACGAATCTCGTAAAAATATCCAATCAAATTTAGCTTCTTTGCCATCAATAAGTAATGTTGCATGTGTATCGTTGATTGATTTCAATTCTAATGATAGTTGATTAGTTCGATTGGCTGGATTAGTAATGAATCTGGATGAAGAAGACGAGCAAGGACGGGTGGCCACCAGTCGAAGCAGTCGAGAAACGAGCATTATATTTCACAAAAAAGTAGGTTCTTCTGAAGAACGAGCGTAAAATAGTTGACTTATGATCTTTAGTAGAGTGGATATCCAAAGTGCAGCTATGTGTAAGAGATAAGAATGAAATACTTTAGTACAAAACAAATGTTATGATAACAGAATGTAATGATGAAATCGAACGAAACAGACTGTCTACTGATTAGGCGTCCGCTTACACCAATCGGACCGGTACGCACTTACTCCAGTTGACATTCACGGTATCTGGTGCGGTACGGCAGCAGATATGTTGTCATACTTCAAAGCAAGGTAGCTCTTTTAATATACGTTCAAGTATTTTTAATTAAAAAATAGTTAAAAAAAAAGACAGAAATTCACTCATATCACACCACACACCACGCGCACACTGGGCATTGTCGTCAATAATAGTCACCGATATCGAGAACACGTAAAATCTATGAGATGACTAGTGGAATGAGACGATATTATTTCTTTGGTTGAGGCAATGTCACTACGTAGGTGTTGATGATTCACTGAATAGGCCCTCTTGATCTTGAATAAGGGAACTCATTCGAACGATGGATGCACGACCCAGCAAACGATTCGGTACCAAATGTTCCAGTTCATGAAAGGCTTCGATTGTTTGACGTTGATGTGTAATCTCTTGTATCTCTATTCCATCGATCGGATCGTTTATGGGAACAACGGCAGTTTTCTTTGGAATCGACGTACACAAGGAGGACGAAGTACACGATAGATGACCATTACGTTGAAAAGAATTCGAATGTGGTGTTACACTTGTTTGTCGAGAATGATTCGGTGGTGTACTGCTTCTCATATTCATTGAATGAGTCGATTTACTTATAGATGTATGAATACTACTTAAGCACGGAAAACAACCGCAATTGTGATAATTGAGAATTTCAACGAAAGCATGACGAAATTCTCTAGAAAGAAGACAAATATTTCACCAATATGTCCAGGGTTCGTATTGATGAATGAATGCATGGATTTTCTTCATGTAGCTTAACAAGATTTAGGACTAACGAATACTAAAGTAAAATGTTTATTCTATAGACCAAATATGTCTGTTCTCCAAGATTCTCTTTTCTGGTCGGATAAGAAAAACAACTTTATTATTATTAAGATCGACATATCTACTGAGGAGAATCTCTAGAGTATTTAATGCGAAACAGACAAATTTTCATTACCAATTGTCATCTGTATCGAAGCAAACGATGGCTGAAAGCCAATTCAAATACTCTCGTCTTTTCCGAACAGTAACACTTGTCCTTGACGGTCTTAAATAAGGTGTTTTTTGTCATATTAAAATGTGAAACGCTTAACTGTCAAAGCAGGTTAATATTTTAGACAGATACATTCGTTACTCGTCTGGAACGTACGAGATCTTCTTCTTTCTAGCTTACGGGATAAGTACCTAAGCGGCAGCTATTCCTCCGTCATAAATAAAAAATAGTATCTTTTGTTGTATAAGCTCATAATACTCTTTCCTCTTCCAAAACAATTGTTATTGAATATGAAAACATAGTACATGTAAGAGAAAAGGGAAAAGAGTTGCTTTCTTTGCTCATGATTTATAATTAATGTTGTCCAACGACGAGATTTCTCAGTAAATTATAGAGTAGCAGAGAAAGAAATTCATTTCCACATACCGATTTGAAAATGCATAAATCATTGGGTTACAAAATGAGTTTACATAACCTACATGAAAGCAGACGTTTTGTATGAGTGAAAAGAACATCAACTTGACTTTACCGATCCAAGTTATATAGCGTTCGACAAGTGCTGGAACACATTTATAATCACAATATGCTAATAGAAGGTACATAATAAAGAAGGGTAACCAGCACGCAACAAAAACGCCGACGACAATACCTAGGAGAAACAGACGCGAATTCGAACATCTTGACTTGACAATTCGATGTCATGAGAATTGTTTACCTAACGTTCGTATTGCCTTCATGTTTTTTTTCCATTTCGCTCTTTCGATCACAAATTTCTGATCACTATGCAAACGCTTGATGATATTCTCAAGTTTTTGCAGTTCCATTGAATGTTGCCGTGCAGTGATGAATATCCGTCCATAAAGGCAGAGAATAATAATTAATGGGACATAGAACGACGTCGACGCCGAAATGATCGAATAGATTAAATTTGGTCTCATATCGCATTCATCAGGATTCGATAAACCTCCGTCGGTTCGAGATTTGCTATAAAGACCTAATAGAACGGGCGCGTAAGAAAGTAATACGCTTATCAACCATATAAAGCCGATAATGATAAATATCGTTCGTTTAGTCATTTTTTGTTTGTACTTAAGCGGGTTTTCAACGGCGACATAACGGTCGAAACTAACAGCAACTAAGGTAGATGAAAAGCTTAAATCAGAAAACATGTGATGATCTTTTTTTCTCGATTACCAAGATGTAGAATTGAAGCTGTACAAAAGGTAATGTCATTCGCCAGCCAAATCTTACAAATCACTCGGCCAAAGATCCACTTTTTCTTAATTTCATAGAGAAAGCCTGGCAACATGACTGTCGTGGTCACTAATAAATCAGCTATCGCGAGCGACATAAGTATGAAGTTAGGTGGATTACGCAATCGTTGAACTCGAAGAATGGCAATGACAACAATGACATTTCCGATAATGCTCAAGATGATGATGATCGAATAAACCTGTTGGTATTCGAAAACAAAACGAAGCAGATGAGACTTCTATTCGAATCAACTTACAATAACCCCAATGATAAGTTCTCCAGTTCGCGAACCAACGACCTCAGTTGAAAGTGTTGTTAATGTGTCATTAAGCTTCGTTTGGTTAGAATTCATCATAAACTGATGATGAACTTGTTCCTGTGTTAAACTAGAAGAAAGGAATTCCATGAATTTGTTTGATTCGTAGGCAAATCAGATGTGTATGACAATAAGTGAACGAGATCATTGAATAAGAAAAGATCTCTCGACTTTCATACAAAAGAATACTAATCTCCTTTGTCTGTTTCAAGAAACAAAACATATACTGGCTTTTGTATTAAATTCAATTGAAATATTCTTATCGAGATTATTTACTTACTGTCATGACTTTACCGACACTTAATAGTAGCGAAAAAAAGCAATATAAAGATAATTACACTAGCCGATTCTTTTTTCTTTGATTTGAAAATTGGAAGAAAGAAAAATATTGAAGTATCTAGCTTGTTAATAAAAAAGAAATTATCGAGATCGGAGTGTGTGTCTGCGTGCGTGTGTTTCATTCACCAATAATCCTTTGAAGACCAGGCAAAAGGTTTGTCGACAAACAGATCAAAAAAGAAACATGTCTATCCATATCTAATGATCGATCATTCGCTGACAGCTAACATTATGCTAATACACCAGGAAAACTGTTTTTATCTGTTCATTTTTTTTCAAAAATGCTGCGCTACAACTTTGGTTTCCCCTTTCATTTTTTGTTGCTTATAAATTATATATTAGAATATGAAAATTGCATTGAAAAAAAGAAAGAAAGAAACAGTCATCTGCTTGATTGTTAATTACACAGCTTAAAGCAATTAATGTGTTGACTGAAGTATTCGGAATCACACTTGACTTTCATGTTGAATAGAATAATGAATTTGAGAATAGATAGGTGAACTCCGATATAAATAGAAAAGAAACTAGTAATTAGCAATGTTCGACTGTCAACTGATATTATATACCCGAAGCTAGAAAATAGATTTCAAACAGCTGATAATGAGTATGTTAACTGTTTTCCTTGATCGCACTTACCGAAACTTTGATATCACCTGTCAATATGATCTCGTAACATGATTAGTTTGTCGAATGTTTGTAAATATGGTAATAGGTCGATTGTATTTGATCTTTGGAGTAAATTTCAGCGACTAATTCATTTGATTTTTTTGTGTCACTGGAATCTTGTTAAAATAGATGGTCTGTTGGGAAACAGAATGTTGTCTTTAGTCTTGAATAAGGAATGACAGACACAGAAGGAGAGAAGAAAGAAAAGAGGAGAGAGAGAGAGAGACAAAGGGAAAGAGAATAGGAGGAATGTTCTGAATAAGGCAACAAGTAAGTAAAGCTTGATTCAGGCGAAAATTGTCAACCAAACAACAAAGAAAAAAGAAGAAAGTGTTGATGCGAGAAAGACCGAGCAGCAATGAAAAAAAGAAATCATCCAAAGTATAGAATTCATAATTATAATATTCTTTCTATTCATCCATAGATGTATATTTATTAAAATCATATGTGAAGCCTTGCTTAGAAGTGTGTATATACACATATAAATCAAGGATTGTCTTGATACGATGATAATCCCGCCATTGAATTCAAGAAAGCATCAGTGATGGAGAAATTTGTCCTGTTTGACAAAATGTTATAATACTTAACACGAACGTGCCTGGAATAATGAGTCGAGATGTTAACTGGTTGAAAGTAAAAATATTCTGAGTCTATTTATAGACATAGTTTTACATTTCGATGAGTAAATTTTCTTTTTATAGTCTTTTATTTATTTATTGACATGTATGAACTTGGACAAGAACAACAAATCAGATCAATCATTATTAAATATGATTCTCCGAGGCGTCAATCGATTGTGAATTTCATTTGAATCAAATGTTCAGTAACTGTTTTTCTCTCCACGTTGTTCTCTTGATGAGTTTCTAATACGATGAAGATTAAGTTTCAAGTTATTAGATTCTAATTCAATTATTTGACAGAAACTAAATAAGGATTATTGTCACCGAAGTCGTGTAGAATATCATCTATTTTTTCTTTGGGTAAACTAGTGTTTGATTAAATACAGATATTTATTTTCTGTCGTGACGATCAAGAAAATGACATCAGATAAAAGAGTGGACCGAAATAATCTTTTTTGTTCACTAGAAACGAGCGGAAATTAGATTTATTAGAATAAAATACTTGAACAAAGACGAATGATATTTTTAGAATTCCTGACAATTGTTTGTACCCTGTCTAGTTTTTAGTGTAACATCTATTTATGAACGCTAAAAGATAAATATAAATGCCTTCTGCTTTCCGATCCATCAAGTGCTCAATGTTTGACACTTGTTGTTTGTCTAGAAAACAACCACAACAGGTATGATGACGGGTGACCTTAATGAGAATTTGTCTATCTGTAAATCACCTAGGGACATTTTCTACTTACATGAATCGAAAACAGTTCAATGGTTTCATTTCTTTAGCGCACAATTCATCACGCGAGTTTTTTTTCATTAACAATTTTCACAATTGTGTCACTGCCACACATATGGGCTACTGTCGACGTTTACCATGTATACATACATATATATATATGTATACAATTGCTCGCCGATCGTCTAACATCTGTATAAACATTATGATTTGTTCCAGAACAACATCCACAGTCATCTCTCTTGTGCATTAGTTTTCCTATTCTTTTAAATAGAATTAATCCGAAGCGACGAGGTGCTAGATGTGTGTGGACACTATATCATCAAATCTGGTATAACGGCTACCAGGGTCTTCGAGTCGATGACAAAATAATATTTAGGAAGATTGTCATCTTCACACAGAAATGACAGCAGAATAGCGCCTCATTGAATTACTCATCTCAAAAGAATATCTCTCTGACGAACAACCTTCCTTGTTCATCTGACTAAATGTCGAAAACATTGCATGACACAGACACAATTGATCGAGAATCTAAGCTGGTAGAGATAGTTTTAAAACTAAATCTAAGTAAACGAATGAGGCATATGCTGTGCACCTCATGCATCCGTTCTCATTTGTCCAAACTATTAGTTTTGAGTCGTATAACAATTTCAATGTATTGAAATTTGTAGAAACTCAGGCACAGGAACTCGATATAATTTAGTTCCGACTTTACGGCTAATCCGGACCGGATTATAATGACAGTGTTTGTGAATCATGTAGCATTATTAGTAAGTATTTACAGGAAATCATGAACAATGAAAGAAGATTAACTAGAACAGCTATCATTGTGTCAAGGCATGATTTTTCTGCAACGTGTTAGTAGTCTGAGGATTAGCACTGCTTTTTCGGAAAAAGTCAGTTTGACACAGATTAGAGTTGCTTTTAGAAGAAAATAAAAGATTAATAATTATTCATGGCTCTGCTCATCGACATATGCAATTCTTATGGTTAGACTTCAGTTACATATTGAATTGAGCTGAACATTGACGTCACTGGCAGTATCAGTCGTTGCGCAGTCGCTAGATGTTATTCAATGTTTGAAAAACTACTTTTTCTTGCTCTTTCAACTATCAATTATCTAAAAATATATAATATAACGCAAACGTAATTCAAATTAAAGTAAAGATCTTTTTGTCACGATAAAAGTGTGCCAAAGTACGTTCAATAATAGCGATTACAGTAAACGACGAACTCATATTTCTTCATAGTCTTTTGAACGACAACCTTTGCCACGATTACGTTGCCGGAGTGAATGAGTAGAATATTAGATTTCTATTTAAAAAAATGCTATTCTTGCTCAAGGTAGATTAAACAATTAAAAATCTTCGAATGAATCCAATTCCAAAACCTAGTTAACACGTGCTTTGAACATGCTGCGACATGTTGACACACTAAAGTGTAATGATGCATACATGAATTTCGATCAAAAATGCATTCATATTTGGTGAAAATGCTTTTCTTCAATAATAACCATGGGCACACTTCCGTCTACTATGGAAACTTTCTCATGACGTTAATCAAGGATGTGAATTTCACACGTCATTTATCGAGAGTTCTTACTTTCATGAATCAAAAGAGCAATCATGTATGAACTAATATCTTAATTAAGACTCACCGCCTAGTCAGAGGTCACAGAGTAACATCGAAAAGTACTCTATCCGACGCTGCTTGTTTTTCATGCTAACGGGCACCGTAGAAAAAGTTCAGAGTAGAACACTCATCTATGTAGCAACAACCGGACTCTAAATTAACGTAATTGTCTCGTGCAAATATCTTTTCGATAACATTTGAGTACTTTATAAATTATGTAAAATGTGTTTTTGATATTCTTCTAAAGTATACATTCTCATTGGATCACAGCATTCCATTTTGATTTGTCCATAGTCATGGTTTTTAATTAAATGTAACCAAAAGTCTTGGAAGTTGTAATTAATCCGTTGTAATTGACACTGTTGATAAGGACAATGATTTGTCGTATCATTGATAACAGGAATTTGCTTTCGAGTAGATTCTAATATCATGTAAACTAATGTTGAAGATATTGCTTTGGAACATTTCATGACACTGGGATCCAGAAAAAACTCACCTAGAGTTTTATAGGATAAAATGACTTTTGAATGTTTAATTTGAAAATGTTCGAGATGATCATCAGCACGTGGAAATCGCTGCTGACATTTTTCACAAAAATACGAGATTTTCTCAAAGAAATCTTGTGATTCTTCTTGATTAATCTGTACATGTTGTGCTTCTACCATAGTTGAAATCGTAATGGATTTGTTATGTTCAATGGTAAAATGTCTACAACGATCATTCATTGTTTGAAAACTTTTTGAGCATCGAGAACATTTCAATGGCGATTTACTTTTCATCAGTTCTCGTACTTTTTCCATTTGACTCTTTAAAACACTTGATGGATCATTGTCCATAGATAAAATCAGTTGGCAATGTTGTTTAATAAAATGATGCACTTGTCCGTCATACGAGCTGAATTTCTTTGCACATTGCCAACAAAACTTTCCCGAAATATTGTCATTTTCAATCTGTTCACTGTTTAACTCGTCGATGTGATGATTATTCGGAATAGGTAAATAAACTTCCGAATGGTTCATTATAAAGTGTTTTAACCGATAAAAGGCCGATTTAAACTCGTTGGAACAAATCCAACAGATAAATTGCTGATTGAAATTATCGAGTCGATGTTTCTGATCATGTGAATTGTTTGTGGAAGTTAGGTGAAAGTGTTTAGCATTGAAATGCTTTGTGAAAAGACTTGTCGATCGAAATTTTTTATCACATTGTGAACAAATCATCGTTTTTCCATGACGAGTAGCTGCATCTTTTCGTGGATTTTCGTCCGTTGAAAGTACCGAATCAATCGAATTCTTGTCCATTGTTTGATCTTGTAACATTTCAATTTGTTCTTTTAAATAATCTGATGGATCATCATTCATTGCCAAAACATTTCGAAAGTGTTTTTGCACTAAATGATTCAACTGACCAGTTGTAGATTGAAATTCCTCTTTACAAATCCAACATTTGAACGGTTTTCGTGCATCATCGATTTGAAAATGATACATAAGAAAATGACGTATACGATCTTCATCAAAATCAAATACTTTTCTACATTGCCAACAAGATCGTTTCGTTTCGGGCACTGGATCAACATAACTTAATAGATCCATGCGCAAGTGAATTCTATCATGTATTCGATTAATATGATTCCTTCTGCTTTGGGAGCTAAAGAATATTCTTGAACACCAAGAACATTGAAATCTTCTTTTTGGAAATCTTCCGACATAGTCCTGATGTCGAAAGTGATTCTGTATGGGAAACATTTTACTTTCCATCTGACTGGAGAGCGATTTTATCGGTACTAAAGTGACAGCTTTGATCTCATAAACTTAAAAACACATGTACCAACTGTGATATGCTCGAAAAGATTCTTTCTTTTATCCAGTGATAAGAAAAAATACAAAGCAAACAACATGACTCCATTTTATCAACTGTTGTGACTACCAAAAATACGAAAAGAACTCTTTCTTTTCTTCAGTGACGAAGAGGCAGGATGTGAGTGAAGAGAAGTACTTTCATTTAACACCTGTTTAGACTGTCTGTTTTATTTTAAATAAAATCAGGAGGAAACCGTTAATATGCTAAGAAAATTTTGATGAGAATAGTCGGTCTATTTATTTAGTTCTTCTCGAAGAACTTTACCAAAACGAGCCATACCCTATTCAAAAGTATATACAAATAAGAAAAAGAAATAATCAAACAAACATACTGTTTCAATTTGCTCAGGTGTAGAAATTGAATAAGACACGCGAACATAGGGATAAGTCTTAGATTGGTCGTAAAAAAATGCGCTACCGGGTAAGAGCAAGACTTCTTGTGCAAGTGCTTTTTCGTAAATTAATTTTCTTGTGTCTTCAACGCCATTTACTTTCAACCATACAAACATTCCTGCTTTCGGTTCATTGAATGTCACCATACCTAAATTCTCGAATTATTGTTACTGACAAAACCAGAATGAATCCGAGGAATACCTTTCAAGTGTTTTCGAATTGCATTAACCATCAATGTCTTTTGTTTACCGTAAAACTCCGCAATACTTTAGTACATCGAAACAATTAGAACAGTAAAAACTCGTATATTGAAACCATACCGTTCAGTATGTTGATGAAATCCGGACAAGTCCCATTTTTCAAATAACTTCAATGCTACCATCTATTGAAAGAGTGTAAATTTCCACGATTGCTTTTATTACTATACAATCTTACCTGCGAAAGAGCACTTGCATGCATACTAGTCACTTGCTGATGACAAACCAACTTATGGCAAAGGGGAACGGGTGCTGTAACAAACCCAAGACGCATACTAAAGAAACAGTGTCTTTTTAATGTTTGTTCGTTTGATAAAGCAATTTTACCCAGCTGATAGAACTTTAGACATTGAATCGAGTCGAATAACACGACCGTCGGTATCCATTGAGAGGAATGAAGGGTCAGGTTTCTAGAACACCTTTTTATGGAATTTCTCGGGAGTAGTGACTGAACTTACCTGAAATTGAAGGAAATAATACGGATCATCTTCAATAATTATGAGGTTATATTTTTGAGCAATCTAAACATGTCAAGAAAAGTTTATTTAGGCATTCATCACAGAGATTAATCATTCTTACGGCATAAATCTCCTTTTTCCGTTCGAGATTCATTGATGCACCAGTCGGATTCGAACCATTTGGAATTGTATAGAGCACTCGAGGCAAAGTATTTGGATCAGACCAATTAGATAGAATCTCATGTAAGCTTTGGGCACTCATTCCATTGGCGTCTGTATTGATACTAATAACATCAGCACCGAAACCACGTAACTAAACATAAAAATGATGATGAGACGAACGACGTTTGGAGATCATACGCAATCTAAAGAGCCGGAATAGCACGGTGAATCGACAAGAATTGGTTCTGCATAGTTCAGAATAAGTTCAAAAACTTTGCTTAATCCTTCCATTGAACCATTAGTGATACAGAGTTCATATCGTTTGAAATCAATCGGAGAATGATAGCGATTTTGTAGTTTTTTCAACCATTGTAACAAATCCTCTTGACTATTTATTAATCGATGAGGAAAAAAACAGTTTATAACATTTGAAAGTTTATTCTAATGCATACCCAGGTGTAGGTAAGTACTGTAGTGCTTTAGCCATTGCAGATGAGTCCAAATGAATAGTTGTATCGTCTCTATTCAAAATAGAATATGAATCTCTTGATGAGGGGTAAAGGATCAACCATTTACGTTAAAGTTATCGTTGCATCTTTGAATGGAAACAATGATGTGTTTGGACTTCCTGATGCAAAGCTGATTGTTGACGGTGGAGATCGTGCAAATAACTGAGCTAAAAAGATCGTCCGTGGTATGTACTCTGTTAATTCAAAGGAGCACTTACTTGCTTCACGAACAGCACTTGGTTGTCGACGCAAAGCTGCGCGACTTAAGAACCGTGCATAATCAATGCAGCCTGGCATCTGAAATATACAATGGACTGATTCATTGCTCTTTGGTTTTCTTTTTGAATATCTTGATTAAACTCTTAACGTTGGTACAAAACTCCTGTTGTGTTTTGTCAAGTGCTAAAACCAAAAAGTAAATTCTTGAACACAGAGACATGATCAAAATATTATAATGAACATAGTTTCCTCGGCTGCATTCGAGTCGAAGTCTATCCACAGTTGTTTTCGATAAACGTTCCGCTTTCGACAGTAACATTGAAGATTCTTGCAGATTGCTTATTAATTGATTCAGCGTTCCACGTGATGGTAATGAAATGTGCACGGCATCTGGCTTGAATTCGCTAAGAATTTGTTCCAGCTGACGTTCACGTTTTGCAAGAAATCGTTCTAAGAAACGAACAACTCGTCGACTAGCTTGAATGCCAAGTTCAGCATGACGTGCATTCCAATTTTTATACACACAACGACTTAGTAGACGCATTTCAAGTTCTAATAAATCGACTGATTTATATTTTTCAATGAAGTTGCTCAGTTGAACGCGGCATTGATCAACAGATGCTCGAATAGGACGCAATTCTTCCAAAGTATAGGATATGCTCTGAATTTTATTGGATTTTACCATCGTTGATCTAGAATCAGCAATTGTGAAAGAATAGTGATGACCTATATAGCATACATCTTATCGAAAATATACTAATCTCATTAGATTCTGCCGTGAATTGAGAGAAAGAACCTGCGAAGCTAATGTAGCTGGTGTATTTTATAGTAAATACAAAAATAAGTTACAACTTTAAGTAATTCAGTACAGAAAAAGAACACAAAAAAAAAAACAACCTAAGATTTAGTTGACGGTTCTTCATGCGGTTTTCTTCTTTTTGGTTTTGAAATAATATAGAAATTCGAACGAAGTTCTTCTGTCGGCTTCTGAAATTGCATTTCATGTAGAACACTAATTATAAATAAAATAACAAGTCCGCCGCTAATCCAAAGAGCTGTTGTGGAAACCTTCGATGTCCAACTACGACTCGCTCTTTCTTGACGTTTTGCCTTCTGTTCTTCCTGTTCACGTCGCACCTTTTCCTGAGCTTCCTTTCGTATCGCGTTCCAATTTGTGAATTCCGAGTAGTGTGACCGATAGAATTCATCGAAATCATAGACATTCGACCGGCCTTTCGGCAATGGGCCGCGATACCGACCAAATGCTGAATCATAAAAATTCTTATCAAACGTTCCATAACTTGAACTTCGACTGTTTCCAAATGCGTTGTCTGTGCCTTGGAAACCTCCAGATGAACTTTTCGACGATGGAGGTGGCTTCCATGCCGACGGTCGATGTGCACGAGCTCGCTGAGCATATGCACTTGATCTATCGTACATCACCGATGAGTAGGAAGACGAATCTCGAGACGTTAATTCTGCATCATATTCGCGTCGTTTAACAGCATCACCCAAGACATCATAAGCATTCGATATTATACTAAATTTGTGTGCAGCATTGGCATCATCTGGATTGACGTCTGGATGATGTTTTTTAGATAATTTATAGAACGCCGTCTTGATTTCTTTTACTGATGCATTCGAATTTACTCCTAATGCATCATAATGATTGATCGATGGTTTCTTCTCTGAGTAATATCGTCGATGACGGACACAATGGCAAGAAAATGATCCACCGGATGACTTTATCGAACCGGTAAGAGATCTTGTGAGATAATTCATGTACATAGGTGTAAAGTAGGACAAGTGAGCGAGATTTAACGCATGCTCACATCTAAAATAATCATTTCAACATGGATTTTCGTAATGTTCTCCTGATTGACGTTATGAAACAAAATCATTATTCTATCTTATCAATTTAAAAAAGCGAACATATATAATTGAATTACAAAAAAAAGAGCGTAAAAAAAAAACAAGAAGACACTATTCAATCATCGATTTATGAACATTTCTTTGAGCGTAGGTGAACACGTATTGAATGATTGACGAATGAAGTCTATCTGACGAAAATGTATGTGCGGAAAATAGTCGAGTGATTAATTGCTGTTGATTTCAATCAAGCCGTGATCATAAGCGTAAAGAATAGCTTCGCACGCGAATTGGTATTGACTCTAAAAATGGTAAGTCGACGAGCGTCTTGGAATGAAAAAGAAAATAAAACCTCTTACAGCTGTTTGTATCATTCCTAAACGTTGTTCGCGCGTTTGTCGAACGATGTTTAATGGAAAAACAGGTTGATTATTCTCCATAAGACATAGAGCTGTCTCCACCAAGATGAGGACACCTGTTCGACCGATTCCCGCACTAAAGAAACGTCAAATTCGTAGCAGATGTTTCTGTTAGGAAGAAAGTTTCTTCTACCTGCAATGCACGAGAATTGGTAAATGTTTATTTGCTTTTCGCAATTCACGTATTTCTAGGACAAAATCAACGAAAGATGCATAATCGGTAGGAACACCATGATCAGGCCAAATTTCGTTCTGAATTTGATAGATTATTCGTTCTTCATGACTTTCCTTGTTCGAACAGATCAGTTCACGATACATAAGATTATTCTCATTTCGTTCACGATTACAACGGATTCGAAATAGTCCATAATCACTCGTCTCCAAAACATTCGGCCAGTATTGATGACATTTAACTCGTCCACTTCGAAAGTCAAGAGGCGAACGATTGAAAAACGTCAAACGAAAGAAAGTCTACTTACTTTTCGAACAATGTCGTCAGCATGATGATTAATGTACATTGTTGTTCCCAAACCATTCGCCAAAAGGCTTCACAGGTTGTGGGCAATGGTCCTTGAGTAGCAATATAACGATTGACAGTATCAGTCGAAATAATTGGCATCTACGTTTTCAACAAACATCTTTCTGACTATAGCAGATGAATCATTCTTACATTGATGTAACTAGCATTGATATAGTCATTTTCAAGGCTTGTTTTGAGAATAACACGTGTTTGATCGTAAGGTAGCACATCTTTGTAACGATTGCGGTAAAAGTTTATTTGATTGGTACTTATTTCGAATGTAAAGCCATCCTTTCGCCGTTGAAGTGCCTAGAGTGAAGGTATTCTTAAATATTCGAACGTCTATTCCCAAGCTCATCAAACTTACCTCGTACTGTTCAACTAAGTGTTCAGATTTCAAATCACTACGTAAGACTTTTACTGATTTTTCTAATGAATTTTGTTCTTCTCGCGGCTTCATCAATAATTCTAATTCCGCTGAGGGTCGTTCACGTGAATGCCGAACCATCTCGGTGATCTAGATAACGATTTGACAATTAACACAAAAAACGACACAGTTCATCAGTCAGTCATTGAATTTACTTGATCATGTGAATGATTTCGAATGTCAATATTATTAATTGCCAATATGATATCACCTTCATGAATCAAAGCTCGACTCGCTGGTGTATTGTGTGCCACTTTCGAAATAACAGTTGGTGTTTGTTCATTTTCTCCTCCCTGAAAAATAATCTTGGCATATGTTGCAATTTAAGGTAAGTAAGAAACCGAATACTTTAATATTAAAACCATATCGACCATCAGCATCTGGCGTTAGTTTGATTTGCGTAGCATCAGTCGTCATACACGACATCGAACAGTTCGTTGCGGGAAGATTTTGAAGACTAAATAACCATCGAATTGATTAGTAAAGTTCTTGTTTTACAAATGTCCTTTTTCTTCTCAAGGGAAATTAAGGTTGCATGTATTCTGTTAATTTATTCTATTGACATTATCACATTGTTAACCATCGAAGGAAAATTTTAACCGGCTGCGAACTATTTTTCTTTCTCATAATGGGCGTGGCACAATTTCACCATTCACTCTCTCTCTCTCATACACACACTCGTCTGCGTACGACGACAGTTTCCTGCTTACCTTTCACGAGATTGCGTCGCATTTTTCGGCTTATATTCATTTGCTTCCAGAATCACACTAGTCGTTAGCGATTGTTTAGAGATTAACCGAGGAGGTTTTGGCGGAGCTATTGACGATGTATTATTCGCAAGATAAACAAGTTTTGGCGTGGGTTCATCGGAGCTTTCTGTCGAAGGAAGATTCTCGTTGATTGCACCTTTATTTCGTTGACTTGATACTCTAGATTGATAAGAATTAGATTACCCATTGGAGCTTTTTATGAGCCTACCTTTCGAATACTTTTGGTTTCTTCTCGATTGTTTCCATGAGTGAAGAACTTGATGGCAGGTTGGAACTCTCGTTCTTTTGACGAAGTTTATTCGAAAATGAAAATAATCTTTTGGGTGATGAGGACGCACCAGCAGCCGTCGCCGTTGTTGTTAAACGGAAGAATGTATGATGATCGACGCATGATTTCCATAGATATTTACAACAACGATAATTACGTAGTGTGAATACGATTGAATTATCATCTGATAACTCCTGTAAGAATGTTGTTTAGAATGAGTGACTTGACGTCATGTAAACATAATTTCATATTGATAAATACTTACCATACTTTTCACAAGTTGAACGTAGAATGTCCGACGCTTAAACGATATTTTGGTTATTTGGTCCCTGTTATATCAAAAGAGAAGAAAAACAGTTTTCGTCTCTTTGCCATCGTTTATCTGACGATCTCCTACCATACAAATGTATTGATTTTTGTCGAATTCTGAAAGACAGATATTCCCATAGCCGATACACCCACATATAACTCCACAGTAGAATTATAATTTCCTCCATTTGTATGAGATACCTAATCGTATTCATCGATACATTGGAACTCATTCAATATTCGATTCATTACTTTCACAGATGATTTATGCAACTCAACGCCGTACATATCCAACGAACTTGCAATACGAAGATAATTACTTTCAGCATCCGCTGGCAATTGACCCCTACATAAAAAAAGAAATAAATGTTATTCATCGAGGCGTAAATTAGATCATTCGCATGTTACTGATGTTGTTTATGATAAAGTTCAACTTCATCTTCGAAATCTTTGTTTTGAAATGGCACAAAACGAAAGTCTTTCAAATAACCATGGTGATGTGCATTAACATCGTAATCACCCAGTTCACCTAACGCGAAACAGTTCGTGAAGATACATTTTCCCTATGTTTATTTTACTTTGCACAATGTAACTTGCTAATCTGATTGCCACGACTCGCGGACACCAAATTTTTCCACTGAGAAGTTCTTTTTTGATTTGTAATACAAACAAATATTTCGTAAATTCATCATCGGTCTGTGTCGTGGGATCGATCAAGAAAAAGCGAACTTTGAAATACAGATGATGACTGGTTATATTTGGTGCGAATTGTTTTTTCAACGGTTTCGTCGCGTCTAGCCACCGATAAGCAAAATCTTGTGTTAAATCTTCAATCAGTAAGCCGAAGTACTTTCTTTCAGTAGTCAAATCCAGATAATCGAAAATTTCATTCAATACATCGCTTCCTTTACATCGCCGCTAGAAAATCATCATCAAGTAGAAAAGAACGGCAATCACTTATAGTACTCACTTCAACATGAAAAGTTCGTTCGGTATCATCAAGAAAATGCACGGTGATTTCATAATGGTCGCGCGCGACGTCAAACGCACGCAAATTGTATGAATGGTAGATCGATGGTTTTGTACTTGATGATCGTCTTATTGATAACATTCGACGGAACAATTGTAATGTATTTGCTGAACTGTCCGACTGATGTATTGCTGGTATCGATGATTCATCAGTTGATTGTGACGACGATAGCGACGCATTAGGTAAGATGGTTATCAATGAATGAATTGGAGTTTTATGGTTCGCTCTTGTTGAATTTTGTCGAGATTGTTGAAGAAAGAAAGGAGTCGCCAGGTTTGAACGATTGACTATGTAAGAGTGATTCGTTCGGTTGCTGTTAGTTTTCTTTTATCTTAAACAAAATCAATCGACAGTGAATGTGATTAGATAACGGATGATTCGACCAAACAAAATGTCTTGTTCAATCCAAATCAATATTTGGAATAAAGATGCGTGTGTGGTGAAATGCGAGAGAGGACGATTCGAAATCTGCTTGACCTTTTCTTCTATCCACAAGATAAGGAAGAGGACGCGCAGTGATCATATAATCAGCAAAATAGGAAAGCTCCAGATGCTCGACGCTAATTAACAGAAAAACAGCTTATCTATCTCAAAGCAATCTGACCAACAGACCAGTTTCTATTTCTTCCACTACGCTTAATATCTTGTCAGCACTACCTTCTTATCTTCTGCTCTAGTGTGAAAAAAAATATTCATGTATACATTTTCTTTCCTTCGTTCGCAAATAATCTTCTTGAGAACAAGTACAATTTACATACAAGTGAAATTTGACGAAGCAGTAGGACATCGATGAAATTGTTCGATGTAAAGAATCAATCTAGTACAAATTACATCATCGTTCAGTGAAGAAGAAGGAGAAGAAATAAGAAAGCTGCCATTAAGAAGCAACATCGATTACTTTCGTCGTTCTTTCCTCTCCGCTCAGTTTACTCCGTGTTCATTAACTGGATATATATTCTACATGAAGGCCACGGACATCAACAACAATCATCATTTTCTCCTCAAATACGTAATCAACGGATCTGTCTGACAAATTTTCTCGTAATTGAAACAAAAGAAATCATGCGAAAGAGTTTTTATCAAAAATACATAGACAAATTCAGAGCAAGAGCAACAGAACAGAAAATACGCTAAGAAAAGAACTACAGAGATATTAGTAGCATTTGAAATCTGACCCAGACAAGTTCATATTAGAACAGACGTCCACGACAATTTTTTGAGCCACAGAAGCACTTCACTTCGCGGTCGGGTAGCAATTCACAATTGTAATGCCAAGTCAATTCTAGAAAACAAAACAAAACAGTACAGATCATTATGAACTTGTTCTCTCTCATTCGATGACATAAGCAAGAAGATTGGGTTATTTAGACAAAATATTTGTATAATGTCAATGTTTTTATGTGTGTACAGATTAGCTTGATTGCCTAATATAAGTGATAGTGTTACGAAATAGTTGAACAAGTACTCAACTAGTCGTCAGTTCGTTGCAGAACAGGAAAATTATTTTTTCATCATCAAACACTTGACTGAGGTCATCGAATCACGACTTCATTGAAAATTTTTAATGAGATTTCTTTTGTTAGAAAAAAAAAATCGATTTTGAAACTTACCTTGGCCAGCTTTGATGTGTGTGTGAGTAAACAGAGCAAGGTTTGGGAAATGCAAATCGTGTGATTCAATGAAAACATTCTGAATAAACATATTCGGATCACACGAATGATTGAAATACTTTCCCAAATTGCTGTATAGACTTCCATCAATCACATACGGCTCTTCATCGTCGTCATCATTGTCATCGATGTCGTCTTCATTGCTAATTTCATATCGAACTTGTTTCACTATATCTAAACTCGTTTGATACTTATCATCCATTGTCTGTGCACGTTCATGTCCTTGATCTGATGTCAATAATTCTCCAATATATTGGCATACGAACGTTCCACGAGGTAAATCATGCAACGCACGTAAGCCCCAGCCTTTCAATTTGTCTTTGAATAGTTGTAAATGTACAAATACGCCTTGTTGGACAAGACGATTCGAACAATGTTCACGATGACATGAACACTTCGAGTTACATTCATAAATACCACTTGATATAGAATTCAGTAAACGTTTTCGTTGATAGCCTGTTGTTTTCAACATATGAGATTGTGTGTAGCGGTATTTTTCCTTCTCCATGACTAACGGATCACGATTGACTTGAGCTTGAGTCAATGTTTTACGAAAACAAGCACATTTCATTCGATCACTACAACTGCAAAGAAACCAATCAATCATCTATGAACGTGTTATGCAACAAAACTTACTTATCAGTACAATCACAGCACGAAGTCATATTTGTGTCATTGATTGCTGCAGCAATTCGATTGTTAATCGGTTGAATTTTCGTAATATATACAAAACTATCTGGTTTCTCATTATCAACATCATTATATACAGAGACTTGAACATTTTCCTGACCGTTGGATAGATCATCTGATAGGATGTAGTTTTTGTCCTGATTATCGATTGGTGGCTTAAAACGGGTCAAAACGCCATCGATGAAGTACTTAATGGATAATTTCGACTGCGTTCGATAGAGATATTGTTCAATATCATCGAGAGAATAAAGTGTTCGACGACATGGTGTTCGATAGCCACGAGGTTTACTGTCAACGATTGACCATTGACATTCGAATGGAAGTAGAAATGGATTAGATCGAATTTGGCTTGGACAGAAGTTCTCTTCTGCTGATTGAACACATTGCTGGCCGCATTTATGTACTGCTGAAGGTAATGCATTGAGTGCACGAAATTTTGGAAGCAGTATATTTGTGTAATAGGTTGTTAGAATGTTTTGATGCGATGTCAATGCCATATCGTCGTTGGTAGACAAGAATACTTGTCGAGTATTCGATCGATCGCGAAGTTTTTTTCCACCTAGAACAATTTTATCGAATTATATCAAGATCTATCTAAAGTCTGTAAAAGCATTCTTTGCTTCAGGATTATTGTACGTCAAACATGCCAGTGAGATATTAGAGTAAAGCTTTGTGTCTCACCCATTCACGTATCGAATGGTTTTTTTTTCTCTATAAAATCGTATTCTCATTAGTAACAAGATCGAAATTCTACCGTCGTCATATACTACCTAGTGTAAGACACAATCGAAGATGATGAGGAATTTAAGAAAATCGGATCTTTCCTTTGTATTCACTTTACCTTTTCTATTCTTATTGTTCTCATCAGTCTTTCGTTTGCGCAATCGTGGTAAATCGGAATCCAGACTGTCATCAGTGGGTGTTGGAGGATCAACAGGAATTAGTTCGATTGATGACTGAGTATTTGGCTGAGATTGCTCAATAATTAACGAATTGCAATGAATCCACATTTCTTTCTTCGATTTTCGTTCGAAAAAACAGATTTTAATTAATAATTGATCGATATCGACGACTCGAACGTTATGATATTGTCCACCGAACTTTCGTACGCGAATAACACTATTCATTACGTGAACTGTTTTTGTGGCGTTCTGCGAATCGTTGAATACTTTCTGATAATGACTGCGCAACTCTTTAAAATCAATATTTAACATGTGTCGACGAAAATCTTGACATAAGCATAGATGTAGATCCGAGGAGGAATGATAACAAGCAGTAAAATCATCATATAAAACAAGACAACGATGGTTATTCGTTGTCGCACATGCAGCTTCTAAGACAAAACCAAGTAACGATGTTGCGCGATGAAAGACACGTGATCGACTAGGAATATCTGATAACAAGCATGGTTCGTTCATATACACTTGTCTTTTGGTCACATGTTCAGGTATTGCTGAGTGAGGACTATAAACCTGAAACAAACGAATTAATTTGAGTTATAAATGGAGAGAGATCACGTTAGATTTACTGTAAGAATATGTATATCTTCAAGATCTGGATAAGGTATCGCTGTTTGACAGACTCGCACAGGTAAATTTGGTTTGACGATGATAATCTGCTCGTGTAGATTAAGTTTGTTCATTTTCTTCTTCACAGCATACTGTCGTTGTCTTTCATTCACATTCGTACTTGATATCTCATCAATTTCTATGTCACTGTCATCGTCGTCGAGAACAATTATCGTATCTTGTTTATCCTAAGAACGTTAACAATGATTATCATTGTTGAAAATGTGCATGTTAACACCTACAGATGCCACACTAGGACATGGGCTGTCAAAAACAGATGAAGATGTATTACCATGGAGAAAAGCTAATTCGAACAAAAGCGTAAATAATTTGAAAGAATAGTTTAAATGTTTAATGACAAACTTGGAATGTTTTCTAGATTTGTCGCCATTTGATTAGATTGATTACTATCTTTCTCACATCGCTGAGATGACAGAATGAAATTTTGTTCGTTCGATTGACGAGGACGTACTTCGTTGTGATTTACACAAGCATAAAATAAAATCTCTAGTTTTCTATCTAAAATACACAAAAGAAGATACATCATTGCTTGATAAATTCATCCGTCTGCTTTGTCTTCAAAACAGTGACGTGACTGAATGTATGAGCAGCACACTATCGCTTATAAATCAATTCTATCGCAGAGCAATAAATCTAGAAACGAGCGGTTGAAAAGAATGTGTTAACATTTCTTATTTTTCTTCCTTCGTTCTGTATTGTTTTGACGACGGATACAAAGTTGCACACATCTTCAACTCAAGGTTTGCATCATGCGGTGAAAATTTTGGTGTGAAAACTAAACGTCACACATTCTCCATGCGCTATTGATCTACCGCTGAACATAATAAGGGAAAACGAGCGGTATTTTACCGTGACCTATCTGAAATAAACGGACGATTAAGAGTTGATTCATCATGCAAATGAATTTGTTAGACATCATTAGTTTAAAATAGCGTTTGTGCAATTTATTTTTAACATAAAATTATTGCAAGCGTTCAAAGCTATATTCTAAAATTTGCCCAATTACACCACGCGAATAAAAAAAACCGTTTGATTAAGCAAAACCATCACAACAGCAATGAGAAAAAAAAAACAGAAAAGCATTTATGAATTTAACATTGACCAGCGTAACACACAAGCTAGTAGCGCAAGCATTGCTTTACGATATGGCATTCACTATTAGTCGAAATCGTTATACATGCGGTCTTTGCTATAAACACTAATCGATTGATATAAGACGTATAAAATCAATGCAGCGAATGCAATGCCTATGATCAATATATTCGAATTACTATTTGATTTGTTCTGAACACCAGTGGAATGTTTGGAATCAGCTCGACGTGCTTGTCGTTGGTGTAAGGCCATTTTCGAGTTTTAATCTAAAAAAATGTGATCATCGTTAAATGAGAGTTGTTCTCTGTTAAAAAGACACTCGTCCACTTTCTGTTGCTCGAGTCCTTATCTATAGCAAATGCCTATATAATTGAAAAAGATTGTTTTTAATTCGATCAAAACTCTAGCAATTTAAATTTTATGAATATGCATTCGATGGTTGAAATGACATAAGTAGTTCACTAATGATCGAAATAGATGTGTTACGTGAATCAGACCAAACCGATTCAGGTAGTATGTGTTTAACGTTGAGTTTATTTGTTCAAACAGTTTTTCATTTCCCTGTTTGGCAAAAGCACGTCTTGGACTTGAATGAACCAATCAGTGTGCATCAATTTAGTACGAAAGGAAAAACTATTTATTATAACGAGTTTTTGAAAGTAAAATTACTGATCAGTACAAGAGAATTGTCTATTAAACTGATTTTGTCTTTCTCTTGATTATTTGTATAGAGGTCGCTGATGGCATTGATCTGTAGAATTGTGATGAACGTTGAAAAATCGATTGTGATTTTGACGGAAGACTCGCGGTTATAGCACGAAGACTTTTCAACATCGATTGTTCGAATTCTTCGCGTTTTGGATCGTTCGATCGAACATTCAATATATCGAACTGTCGCGATCGATATTCGTATACTAAACGAAGTAGCTGAAGGCGACGATCGCTGCTGGTTGTTTGTTTCAACAAAGTTTCAATCTGCTCTGATAGTGTCAACTCTACTTTCTAAGAAATAAAACGAAATTATTCAGAAAAGATCGCACTTCATAACATACATTCGTCGGTTTCCGTCGGACACTTGCACGCAATTTATCGATTAGATGCATGATGAGAAAAAAATGAGGATAAGACTCTTAGCTATTCTCGTGATGTCGCAACTATATAAAGGTATTCGCTTTCTCTGACTAATTGATGAGAAGAATAAAACGCTTTGTTACTCAATTTCGTCGATATTGGCGGAACAGATTTGTTCATTTCTCTCAAGGACAGCGCCGCTCAATTCATTTCGTATGTGTGACAGCTCATACACAGTGAAAGTAGATGAAGAGAAGTGTATCTATGAGCAATCTTTTCTGCGATAAAAACATAATTGTAAATATCTGAAAAGTAAAAATAACAGTTTCTTTTGTACGTCAGATGGCCAATTAATGTCGTTGGTCGGAAAAGGTTCGATCATCAAATGCTTCATTGACTTCGCCATATTTTGACAGAACAGGTTTTGTATCGAGGTTGTCGTGTCTCGCTGCATTTATCGGTTGCGTGATGGCAAGGGAAAATGCGAGAATTGCAAGAATCAATATATTGAAGAAGCCAATGATCGCTACGATGTATGCCCAACGAACTTGACAAGTATCGATATAGAAATCATTCGCGTTAGGTCCACAAACAGATCGAATTGTGTCGTTATCAAAACCGGATGGGTAAATAATCAAAGCAATAAGAAAACAAATAGCACAAACAATTTGTATCGACGCACAAATGAAATAGACAATTCGAGCTCGTATGAATAAGAATAGGATGAACGTTCCAAGACAGATAAGAATCAATAACGCTGAAAAGCCAATAAAGAAGGTCGCGACAGCAAACGGTGAATTGAGAATTGTTGCGAAATTGGTCCACGTGCCTCGACAGTCAAATTCGTAATCACTTGTTGTGCTTATACAGTGCGAATACAGACCGAAGTGTCCAGCACGAGGACTTTCTAGTGTATCGCCGATCCATTGCGGCTGGGCGAAAACATAGATGTTCAAAATTGCAAAGCAAGCGGTAAGAAATGCCCAGACAATACCAACAGTTCTTGATATCCATTTATAAGAAACAGCCCGAGTTCGTGTTATGTTTTTCATCATCTTCGGAATAAGTAGAAGGATGAATGATCGATTTTCTTTCTCTTTGCTTGTCGTTACCTTAGAATTTATCTTGCTTAATCCTCTGTCTTCGTCTTCTCTTCATCTGATTTCTTCTCCTTCACATATTACTTATGTAGGAGATCTACATTTAAAGTTTGTCGTACGACAGCGTTCGAATAGATATACAGACAGAGAGAATAACGGAAATCTCAATAGTTGTTTGCGCTATTATGACATTTGAATACATTCACTAGACGAAAAAGTTCAGGGATTCACTGTCAAATAAACAAAGAATTATGAGAAACGGGTGGAATATTTGTTCAAGGAGTTTACAACAGTTTATTTTCCTACGTCTTCGAACAATAAATGAAACCTCAAGAAATATATTCTTGGAACACAAGTTTTCTTTATCAATGTTAAATGAGCACACATGTCAACATCAATTTGTCTCGAACAGATTGGATGTTTCGGTGCTGAGCAACGAGCGAGAACGCTGTTGATCAATATTTTGCAACAATCACCTTCTAGCAGTGTTCTCTTCTACTTCTTTTTCTCGCCTTCTCTCCCAAGCTAAAGAATAGAAAATAAATCGTGCCGACAAAGAACTCAATCAGAAGTGGCCAGATCTGATTCAACAACAAAATCACACACTTTTGTGCATTTAGAAAAATATTGAGACATTATCCGAGAAAGAAACGATTCAGTGAACGATGTCCGATTTGGATACACTAAGAAGTTTACTTTACTCGAGAAGTATCGATTCAAATAATGTCAAACCGTATACCGGTTTCCATTATAATGCAGCCGGTAAATGAGCGTTTTCTTTGTCAGCAAATGAGACATTGATGTATTTATTTTCAGGTGACTTAGTCCTTTCAACTCCATCACTTGATTCGTATCGCGTTAATAAAGATCCAATGTATCCGTTCGAAGGCGGCCGTCCACAACATCCACCTAACGAACTCGACCAACGTGTTCTGAATTACAACACACTCGAAATGCGTCGTTATCAATTTCTTCGAATGAAACAACCAGCTTCCCGCTATGTTTCACGTATATTTGAAGAACGATGTAAGGTCAAACTGTTTTGCATTCTGATGAAACATTCACGTTCTCTCTAGTTGGCTCTGCCAGCTCGCCCCGTGCTGAGCCAAAACGAACCATTCGTATCGCCAAGGCGCCCGGCTATCGATTACTTTTAGATCGAATTGCCAATCAAGATCAGACAATGGTCTCTCAACGTTTCAATAAAATTGCGCCGTTTGTTACCGAACATGGAACTAATGTCAATGCCGATCCTGTTCTACGACAAATGATGGCTTGAACGTTTCTCGCACCTTTTCTCTTCTTTTTTAATTCAATTATTTCAATACAAATTGAATTGAAAGAATCAAAGCTTTCTCTTTCTTCGCCTCTACTTATTTCATCGCATGTCGATTAATCTGACTTGTACAACGAACGAAGACGAAAAGAAAACAACCTGTTATTGTTGTTTTTAGCCTCATTACTCAAAGAAAAAGATTCCATTAAACCGAACGATTTAAAGACAACATAGTTGTTTTTATTGCTATCTCTATAACAACTAAAACACTAAAAAATGTCAGAAAAGAGAATCAACGGTGTGTAAAAATCACATGATAGGATTGTTTGTTGACGAAGACTAATCTCAGGAATCAATCCGCGAATTAGTTCATTTTAATTCTTCTTTGATTCATAATTTTTACTGAAATATTTCAGTTTTTCTTCCGGATTTGGTATAATTGTGTCAGCACCTGGACGCCAACCGGCAGGACACACTGGGAAAGAAGACATCATCAGTCAGAAATCTTAGTAAACATCTCTTTTTTTTACCTTCACCGTGCTTGTCAGTGTATTGAAATGCTTGAAGAAGTCGAAGCGTTTCATCTGTTGATCGGCCGACAGGAAGATCATTCATGGTTATTTGACGAAGGATACCACGGCTATCGATGATGAATAATCCTCTACGAAAAGAAAGTTTTGAATCAAATGTTCAAAGTATCGTTCGTACCGCAAGGCATGACCAACATCTTGAAGGTAAACACCGTAATCTTTGGAGATTTGATGAGTCAAATCGGATAGGAGTGGGATTTGGATCTTTCCTAGACCACCTTGTTCACGAGGAGTGTTGATCCAGGCTAAAGGAACAAATAACAATCGCGCGTTTCGTAGGAATTCTTTTCATACCTAAATGTGTGAATTGCGAATCGACCGAAATTGCTACCACTAAACATTGCACTGTTTAAATCATGTTTCACGGCAAAAAAAGCTCAATACGCACCTTCAGTGTTAATACTCTTGAATTCTTGAATACGATCGGAGAAAGAAATGATCTCAGTTGGACATACGAATGTACTAAAATCATCACAACCAACCAATATCGAATCTTATTTATAAACATAACTCGAAATCTTACAAATCCAATGGGTAAAAAAGAAGAACGAGATATTTGCCTTTGAAATCACTCAAACTAACTTCCTTAAATTCGCCGTTAATCACAGCTATGCTATCAAACAATGGAGCTGGTTTACTAACTAAATAAACATAGAATCAATTAACCGTTCATGACATTCCAGGAAGAAATTCAGGGCTCACTTTGCACTTTACTGTATTGTAAACTAAGTGGCTCTCGACTTGGACGACTTTCACATGGATATGCAGCCACACCATCCAATGGTTCAACACAGACAGGATCTTGTTTTTTACACGCAATGAACGGACTACTGAGACATAGGAAAAACACTACAACAGCAACAAGTGACATGTTCGAAGCACTTCAAAGACACCGTTTTAGAAACAAATTCAAAGGAAGGATATTTACACTCGACAAAATATTTTCGTTAATATCCCTTTGGCCTCCCTTTTTTTTGTCAGTGTCGCGACGTTATACATACCGACCGACCGGGTGACGTTTCATATTTGAAAAAACCAATCGATAGACGGCGCTACTGTTATTTTCACATCGAAATCTGATGCAGTAATAGAATGTAGAACAAACTGAATAAGATGATCATTATCGAAAGGGATATTGAGCAGCGTTTTTCAAACGAAATACACATAATGTATATAAATACGACAGATAGGTTATCATCAAGTCGCGGAAAATGTCAATACCTTATATCTGTTAAGTCTATTAGATTGAGTGAACATACACAAGTGTTTGACCCCATGTACATTTATTCTTATCCTACTTTACGTCTCTCTCTCTAATTATACAAATCAGACGCGTACACGAAGTGCAGACGACAACATAGTGCGAGATCGATTAAGAAGACGTTAATTTTTTCTCTTGAAAGCGAAAAAGAGGTGGAGAAAGAGAATGTTTTAGAGTCTGTGAGTGTCTCTTATTCGTCAAAGCACAACCAGTAGGCGGACAAACGGTCAGTTCTGGTAAAAGACGAAGATGATGAAAGTGCATCTATACAACAAGTAGGCCGGCATTGATATTCATTCGAACAAAAGATCATTCAAATTAGTATTGGTTCAGAACACACACATTGAAGATGAAATCAATCACAACTAATAGGTAGCCTTGGAAATAAGGTGTTGACGAAAATTTCTCTCTTCGTTCGTTTCGTTTGATTAATATGACACCTACTTAACTCAAAGACGAAATAGCAAAAAAAAACGGAACTAGATACATTTAGACGGCCATCAATCCATATATTTATTATACCGACTTAATTCACTATTCAACTTGCCTAAAATCGATGCCAACATAGTATGCACACAATTGAAGAGCGTTTATATGCACGAATAGAGAGAGAGAAACTCTTTTTGATAAGTGTATTGTGAAGAAATTAAAACAATTGAGAAATTGTGTTCCTCATGATCACCTTAACTTCTTTTTTTTTCTTGATTGTCAGAAAATTTTCTTTCAACGTCTTGCACTGCATTCAGTATTGATTATTGAACGAATGATCCGTTCTCTCCCTATTACTGTTCTTTTCTTCAGTCGAATGACTGGCTCGTTCATCACAGTAAAATCTGAACCTTTGTATATGCATGAGTATTGAAGGAGAACAACGAAGAAGTCGCACTCCATTACAGTCTTGTAGTTCTTTTTCTCTTTCTCTCTCTCTCTCTTCCTCTCATTCAGCCCTTTTTAGTCAACTACTGATGTGCTTTACTTTTATTGATATTCGTAGGTTGGGTTCATTCATTCTCGTTAGATACGTGTTAAATTTTGCCATTGGTTCTGAGCAAATGATATATACTAACAGTACAACAATGTTAAAAAACGCAAGCTAGTCGAATGGTCTATGGCATATATGTTTATCTCCTTTCGTTTGATTTCTTATCATTCTCAATGTACAATCGGGTAACACAATCAGTTCATGTGAGTAGCGTTTTTTAAATACAAAAAAAAAAGAAACTGAACACGAGAGATTTGTTTTATATAATAATGTATACGACAACAGACAGGAAGTATGTGGTTTTTTCTCCTTGACAATCTGTCATGAGGTTTACTTTCTGTATACTCACGTCACTTCTGCTTAGGTCGGTATGTAAGAATAAAAGAAAAGAAAGTTGCGTAAAGAAAAAGGAAGAATGCTCGATTCTTTTTCATTTAACACAACTTGAAAGATTTCTTCGTTTGTCTTCGATTTTATCACTGACGAAGACATAGAAAAATACGTATGCTCAGAGAGTACCGAAACAAGCACAGTTCTCATCGCACTTAATATCGTGAAAAATAACAATATACACGAGTGAATACCTGAAGAACGAACGCTTTGAGTAAGAGTAGTTGAAGTGATCGTAATCATGGATTAGGCACGAATGAGATATCAGCAAGAAAAACAATTAGAACAAGATGTTTCTCTTTTCTTCTCTTCAAGTACAAATCGAAAACAGATCTTCATCGCATATTATTCTTTCTATTTCTCCTTTTCATCGAATCTCTCCTTGAACATACCCATTCATTTTCTCAATCGTATGAAAACATATCCTCCGAAAAGAATCTCTGCTAAAACGTGTTCAACTCACATTTACACGTCTATTTCGATTAGAGCCGAGAAATAAATTACATCAGTAATGACCTGTCGGTTCTTCTCAAACATGCATCTCTACACCTCAAATGAATACATCGATTTGTTATTTATTTTAGGGATTACTTATTATCCATCTCGTCGATAGACGATGAATCAATTAGAAATAAATCTGGCTTTATGGGCAATATGTTCCATATTACTCTTCGAGATTTTAATTATCATTTGTCTGTGTCGATGTTGTTTTAATCGTATTCGACCGAGGAAATTCTATGTCAAAGTAGGTGAAATCACTTGTCACAATGATTTCGTTCTATTTTGCTTCTAGCGAGAAGAATGTGAATACTTACACGATGTACAAACTGGTATTCAATCAAAATTTCAATCAACTATTCTTCGTCCGCCACATGCTGATGAATTGGCACTCGTTGGCACTATACGTGGAAGTAAACCAGCGATTAGTTTCAACGATGGCTTCCAGAATCCAGCGTTTTCTCCTGATGAGGAACAAGAACGTATTCGACGAGCACAATCACAAAATTGGATTGAACTTCAATCAAATATGATCCGAACTGCTCAACTGCCACCAGCTGACTACGAAATTCGTACTCGTCCAATTGCCGATGATATACGTTACACACACGTTCGTCCGGCAACTATCCTTGACTTTCGCTCCTTACAAGAGGACTTTTCCGATGAAAAGAGTGATTTTGAAAACTTTCGCTTTCAACCACTTCGTCGTCCTGCACTTATTCTTCCTCCGACACCGAGAGTCGACACATCTACTGAATGTCATGGTGTTCAATACTCTAATACAGTACCGAAATCAATCCTTAAGACACCAACAAATCCTTCACCTTCACGCAGTCGAACATCTTCGAAATATGAAGATTTTCCCTATGTCTCTACTGGAACAAATACCGATCGCTCGACAAATATGGCCGAGAAACGATTTCCGTCTCAACCTAATCTCTCTCTTGCCCTTCCATCACCACCAGCATATCGAATGAGATTTGCTAGCGTCAGTGAGTTGAACGACATTGAATGGGAAGTTCCACGAGAGTTTCACACTACTATTCGTGATCGTCAGAAAAGTCCAACTGGGCACATCGATTCGAGATCACGCATTTCGTGGCAACGTGAAACAAACCCATCGCAGCCATATTCTCTATTACGAGATGACCCAACACAACAACAAGCATTCGAATACTAACACCACCTTTCTTCTTAGCTCAATTCACCTGCAGATGAATAAAGTGAACAAGATCAATCTATCAATGTTTGTCTCTTCTGTATGTAATGCAACATCGTATTCATTGTGCATCAAATATGAAATAAACACAGATTTAACATTGAATAATTATTGATTTTATTAGATTTCTATTTTTTTTAAATCGTCGTTTCTTTTCTTTCACTGTTTATATGCTTTCTTTTTTTGATATTTGATTTACAAACAACGATCAAGTAACAGTATATAAACATTTACACAGTTCACATATGATTCTAGTGAAAAGATCGAAAAGTTTTGAAAGTATGTTCAAACAGAAGGCTCAGATTATCTGTTCGTTATATTGAATGAGTATTAGTAGGAACATCGACATTTATTCTACCCTTATACATGTATATGAGAAAAGAAAGAACTATCGACTAGTTTGGTGACCTTTGCGCAATCACTAACGTCGTCAGAAAAGAAACAACTTCTTCAGTCTTAGAACAGACTTTTACAGAAATGTAAATTTATCCTGCTACGTCTTCAACATGCGCTTCTGGTATATTCAGGTACGTACGTACTACTGAACGATGTTTGGAGCGACTTCACTTTGAATTCGCAATATAAGACAACTATGAATATATTGTCGGAACTCGATGAATAATCACTGCATGATACTGTTCATCGTTTTTATTTGCCTGAGATTTTTCTTCATATAGTTTTTCAATGATTCTTTTCAAGATCCATTGTGCAACATGCGCTTTAAAAAAAACAACGTGTAGTGTTAAGCACATGGATTGTCTACGCAGGCACGCACGATCTCTCTACATCCTTTCAATGTATGATGGTGGTCGAACTGCCTAGCGCGTCGACGCACATAAACCTCGCTGGTTGGTTCGATGTTTTCGCTTGTTCTCTTCTTTTCTTACTTGCTTCATTCTCTTTCCAACCGCTGTTCTTGTCCTTGCCTGCTCCGTGCGCTCACTGCTTTTTGGTAGCGCTCGGATAGCAACAACATGAAGGCATTGATAACAAAAAGCAGTAGCCATTATCGTCGACACTTTCAAAAAGCACAAATTTCTTTCTCAACTGATTTTATACGAAGACAATTTTCAAAGAAATCAAACTACACACAGAAGTCTTTTGTTAATAGGAGATTCTTTCTTCGTGATATGATAGATGCAAAATGTGAGCCAAGAGAAAAGGTGCATTATCTGACTCGCACTGCCTCATGTGTTCGCCCTTCTCCTTTTTTTTCACCAGTCCTCTTTTCCTCTCCCTCGCCCTCTCTCTCTCCTACAATTCGGAACATCGCACAAGAGAGACACAAAGATCTAAACAAAAAAAGGGATATCTTGATCGTATTTAACATCGAGATACCATTCGCAAGTGTATTTGGGAGACTGCATTTTATTCAGTAGAGGGAACATCGAAAGATCAATAGATTCTAAAAAGCCGATGAGCTCAATGAAGACTTTCAAAAGTATGTCAACTGTATAGTACATGTATACATTAAGATAGGAGAAAACTACCCATGTTCGCCGTACACAATACATGAATTGCTTTCCTGTTCTCCTCTTACATTTTCCATTCGACTTTGTCTCTCTCCCTTTCTCGCTTTTTTCTTACCATATTCAGTGTATGTAAAAGCACGTCACATATCGTATAATCATTCAGTGCTCTGAAGTTTTTGTATTTAAAAGAAAAGACGCGAAAGAAAATTATATTCATTCTTGAGTTGTTGACGACTAGGTCAGTTATTTGGTTATCCTCTCGTTATTGATCATTCTCCTATCAAGTAGGGTTCTGTAATATTGAGATGATATTCAAGTGTCAACAAGGTTTGCATCGTTCTTGTTATCATATTTTTTTTCTTGTTGTTGACAAACTAGCAAAGTGAAATGACGGTGTGTGGTGACACGAAAGGTACAGAGACTATTCATTGCAGGTATACATGATTGTGAGTGTAAATCAACATAGTTTAGTTTTTCCTGTTCTCTTCAGATGGAAAACTGGCTTTTCCTATGATTGAAATTTCGCTGACTAGTTCGTATATCCGTTATGAGATAGTGACGAACAAAAGGAAGAATATACACGTGTAGTCTGGTGTGCTTTCTTATGATTTCTATTTATTAACAACCGAAAAAAACCTTTTGCTTTTTCGCATCTCTCTTGTTCTCCCCCGTTTCTTTTGCTCGCTCGTTTGCTTCAATATGTGTGTGTATGTGTCCTCCCTTTTATTTTCTCTTGAAAGAAAACGAGAGAGCAAGCGATGCTTGCTTACTTGCTCGCTCGTTCGCGCGTCTTTGCTGCTTCTCTCTCTCCCTCCCTCCCTCTACCCTCTACTAGACTACTAGTAACTACTACCACCGCCATCATACATCGCATCTTCCTCTTATCATCTACGTTTTAGCTGAGGATTTTCTCTTAGAAATGTATTTGGTGCTGATGATATTGAACGTTTTCATTTTGTTAAATTGAGTCGTTTGGAATATGGAGAAGGAGAAGAAGAAGAAGAAGAATAATAAAACGGACGAAGATAGATTCAGTTAGACACTTTGTGCTTATCTTTCTTTCGTTCGTTCGACCGTTTGCTTTTTGCTTCGTACTATATGCACAAAAGAGAAAAATATAGTTTTAAGACTTTGTATGGATGGCGCTAGTTTAGTCTTATGTTCTTTCCTTTGTTTATTTTCAAAACGAGAAATCGCACATTTCTTTGTTGTTGTTATTATTATTGTTGTTGTTGTTTTTCTTCCTTTTCTCTTCTTTCTAAACGATATCAGGAGGTTTTTTCTTCTTTTCGTTTCTCTCGTTTCTTTTTTCGTTTTACACGAGATATGTACGTATACTCATCGAAAAAAAAGATACAAGAAGAGACTTTTCTCTCTTTCTCTGTTTTTGACCTCGATTGAACATTCGTCGTCGCATAATTATTCTCTTTCGCTCGTTCTCTCTTTCTCAAGTAAGTAAATGCTTGGCGCGCGAAGCGTTCTATCCTAAAAAAAAAGAGAATGTGTTCTCCCGCTCCTTCTCTTTCTGTAGACACATACACACAACGCAATGTGATCATCCATCATTACATTACATACAAGGAAAGAGAGGGAGAGGGAGAGAGAGAGAAAAGAACCATAATGATTGTGTCTCTCCTTTAGCAAGACGCCGGCGACACAAGAAAAAAAACAACAACAGGCGTACGCGTGTGCGTCTCTCTTCCCTTCTCTCTGTCTTTCTTTTTATACCAAATTGGAATTGAAAAACTTTTCTTCCAGATGATCCTCTCACCGATGACAACAATCAATGCAACATCATTATCTCCTTCTTTTAGTCGAAAAAGAAATCTCCCAACTCCTCCTCCATCGCTTTCCGACGTCAACGATTCGTCGTCATGTTCTTCGTTGTCGTCTTCTTCTTCCTCTTCGATAGTAACAACAACAACAACAACAATACAAAATGATACGACTTCGACAATACCAACATGTGATCTACTTAACATTCTAACTGATGTTCGTTTTCGTCCAGTTTTTCAAGCGATCGACGAGATCAAACGGCGCAAATGTCGACCCGATTTCGAACGTATATTAAAATATGTTGCTAAACGTTACACAGCAACAAATCAGTCTGATCAGCGAAAAGAAATTCTCTCTATACTTGACGATCTCTTGAAGTATGGCATCATCACTAAAGTATTTCACAAAGGCGGCTTTACAATTCGAATGAAAAATGAAAAATATGCCAAGTTAATTGAAAACATGAATATCTGCTACAATCAGAAAACACCAACAGCAACGCCGATGAACCCGCAAGAAGCGATGGCAGCCGCCGCCACAGCTCTCGCTGAACAATCCATGTTGAATTCTGACGATATTTATAATCATCATAAGCGTGAAACTCCATCGCCAGAATTTGCCGTTTTCATTACAGGTATATTTGTTGACATTATTAATAATTGATCACCAAGAGCTTTATGAGTGTTGTTCTATCTTTAGAATCGTTGCCACAAATGACAAAAGAGAATAATCTTGATTCGAGCCAAAAGAAACGTACGCGTAGTCAAACATATCCGAATAAAACGAAGAAATCTCGGCTAAGCAGAACACCCGAGCTAGTGCCTGAGCCAGTTTTTCGTCCACCTCTATTGACGAACAATAACCTACCTCCAATTACAATTGAACAGTTACTTGGCTTACGCGGTAGTATTCCCGACGTTCATCGATGGACAACGGACGATTTAATTCAATTTTTTCATCAACAAGGCTATGACTATGCATCAATTCTTTTGAATAAGTATCGTGTCAATGGTGATAAACTGTATGAACTTAAACGGGAAGAAGTATTTCATAAGTCGACATTGAAAATCGGCAAAGCTTTGAAATTGTGGAATGTGATTGAACAAATTCAACGAAATACTGTATCATTATCGTCTTAATATTCGAAATCAATTGTCTTTTGTTTGTTTTTCTGTGTGTTTAAATGTATGTTGCTTCAAGTGAAACATAGATTAAAGTTCTTTTTCCTTCTCAAAGGTAATCTAATATAAGGCTGCGTATTGATCAGATCGGCAAGGAACTCTTAGGTAGTACGTATTAAACGTCATTAAATTTACATTTTACAACAGGAATCAAATGTGATGCAATACGCAACTATTGTTACCCTCAAGAATAGAAACATTACGGTCATTAAATACTAAGAAAGTCAAAGCCATTGCGGATGTATCAAATGTACTCGATTAATGAAGCACATCAGCTATTATTGTTGCATATGAAATAGTCTTGTTCCTGATAAGCTCATCAGCAATTTGCTCGCATCAACAAATCGAATGACTAAACGATGATACTGTAAAAGTACAAAATACAACTTGTCAGAAAATCTCTCAGTAAAAATAATTACATTGTTTTCACTACGGTCATACCGGAATGCAAATTCATTGTCGATATGTATAACAATTCAAGAGAAGCTAATCGGATTTGCAAGATATTGATAAATATGAAAAACTTGTCATTACTGTGATCTTCGACTACGTCATTACCTACAATTAATAGTCAGCTACGCAGCAAATCTGTAACTTTTCATATAATTATGATCCTATACTAATTATTCATTCAAATTTCAAAGACAAAATCTGTCGTACTTTTCTTCTAATTGAAACATTCTTTCATTCCAGTGTAAGAGTTACTCGAAAGCAGCATATCAGATTTCTCCTTCTTCTCATCGAACAGGTAACGCTTTGCGCAGATTAGGATGTGCGTTGTGTTTGAAATCCTGACGAGAAGTGTCGAGTATTTGTCAAATTTATTTTCAAAGATTATTTTAATCATGTAATGTCTCTTTTTTATTGTCAGAAACATTCTCCAATGAAAATTATCTGACGAGTCGTTTTTATTGGATGACTGATTTTCAATTGTTATGTGTCTGTTAGTCGTCAATCGATTTCATTTTGGTGTAGAATAAAAAAACTTGTGTCAATCGCTAAAATTCGAGTATGAAAGGCTAATCTGTTGCTTTTTAGACATAGAAATTCAATATCGATGAGGAATCAATGCTAGAACGAAGATGGATTTTGAATTTCGTGCACAACAAGATCAAGTTCGACGTTCAGTTGAAGAGTTGTTCGACTTTCAGGGTCGAATGATTGGTCGTGGAACATATGGGAAAGTCTTTAAAGCAAAACGAAAGGACGGGTGCGACTTTGACATTCTTCTTCCGTGTATCATCTCTTTTCTTTGAACAGATCTGACATGTCGGATTATGCATTGAAACAGATCGATGGTAATATTTACTCTCATTAAACATTTTCATGTAAGCTTTTCTTCTAGCAACTGGACAATCAATGTCGAATAGTGCCATACGAGAAATCGCTGTAACGTCCGAGTGAATCTTTTCTCGTCGGATTGTTTTCTGTTTGTTTTTAGTTACTTCGAGAACTTAATCACATTAATCTTATCAGTTTGCAACGTGTTTTTTTATCCCATGTCGATCGTCGTGTTTCATTACTGTTCGATTTTGCTGAACACGATCTTTGGGTATGACTCATTTCCAACATGTGCTAATTGTGCTGTTTGAGACAGGAAACGACTTTTGAATTTTGGTTTAGCATATAATTAAATATCATCGAGCAGCCAAAGCATCAAAAAAGACAGTTAATTGCGCACCGGGTATGATGAAATCTATTCTTTATCAAATACTTGCGGGTATACATTATTTACATTCCAATTGGGTCTTACATCGAGATTTAGTACGTATTTAGAAATAATTAAACTATGTTTTCTCCAAATCTTCCTTGCTTTCTTTTCCTTCTAGAAACCAGCTAATATTTTATTGATGGGCGATGGTGCGGAACGTGGACGAGTCAAGATTGGTGATATGGGATTTGCGCGATTATTCACTTCACCACTTGTGCCTCTGAGTAAAATTGATCCAGTCGTTGTGACACTGTGGTATCGATCACCGGAGCTTCTTCTCGGTAGTCACCATCATACGAAAGCAATAGGTCAGAGTTTTCAGTCGAATTTAGTTGAATACAACAACGAAATCATTTTTTACGAATAGATCTTTGGGCCATAGGATGCATTTTATACGAACTACTGACACTCGAACCTCTATTTCATTGTAAACAGGACGATATTAAAGCTTCATCGCCATTCAATCGTGATGCACTGGAAAAAATCTTTCAGGTGGTTGGTTATCCAACAGGTACTCGACGAAACTTCGAGGAAAGAGAGTTTATCAATAATGATTTATTGCCATTTTAGATAGTGATTGGCCTGGTTTGAAACAAATGCCTGAATATCCTAGATTGAGCAAAGAAGGTTTTCGAGCAATTCAGTAAATATCTTTGTTCAAAGGAATCCGGCTATTTCTGATTGATGCATTCGTTCGGTATTTTTTAGTTATGGTCATTGTAGTATCGAACAATGGATGAAGAAAGTCTTTCCTAATGGACACCCAAGTTTCTCGTTAGAACTCATGAAGCGTTTTTTAACATTTGATCCTAACAAACGTATAACAGCAGAACAAGCGCTCTGTGATCCTTTCTTCAAACAACAACCATTACCACATCAAGAGTAGGATGAATATTCGTGCATGAATCTGTTTTCTATCTTAATTACTCCATTTTTAGTGCGTTCTATGGAATGGAAATTCCATACGGAAAACGAGAGTTCATCATTGAAGATGAGGAACAGCAACAACAGCAGCAGCAGCAGCAGCAGCAACAGCAACAGCAACAACAACCAGCTATTCAACCTCCCCACCCACCTCCTGTCGAAGAACCATCAATTCAAATAAAACAGGAAAATTGTCACGCATCTGCTCGTAAAATGATTGTAGTTCAAGAACAGCATGCACATGTGCATCTTCTTGTAAGCACAAATAGCCATCTAAGATCAAAACTGTACCGCTAAATGTTTAGGCGATGCAAGAAAATCACGAACCTGTTGCAAAACGGCTTAAAACCCAAGAAGCACCGTCTTTCTACGCCCAAGTACGTTCACTTTCATTCACTTGACAAATATCTATCTTTAATTGATCTCGTAGAAACCACTAGTATCATCCCAAATGCTCACTCTTCATCAACATCTTCGACGATAGCTTATCAATGGTTGTGTCTGTTTTGTGCTCGATTTCTATTTGTCAGATACTAATAAACTAAGACTAAATACATATTCCGGTGACATATTTCTATGCACATTTCTTTATTTGTCGTGTTCAATAAAATCTTGATTTAAATTTCTCTCATCAATAAAAAACACATTTTCTATGGTTCCCTTCGCACACTCTGTATTTCGTGTCGCTCATTTGTCTGTTCTGATAATGCTCGTAGAAAAAAATTGAAAAAGACCTATTTATCTACTAACGACTACATAAATTGACATATCGTCCTAATTAATATTTGACTAGACAATTCCTAAGATTGATTGAGTACTTATTTATGAACTTTCCCACCAGGGACAAATTGGACAATTATACACTACGTTAGTTATTCTAATTCTCCACACTGCCATGCACAGTAGTACACGATATTAAAGTAAATAACTTATATATATATATATATATATTTCACAATATGCAATTATCTGTACTACATCGAGGGAAAAGGCTTGAGTGCATCTCCATATAGAATGGGAGAAATGTTTCTTTTTCTTCCTCTTGTGGTGAAATCTGAGTTGATGAATGATAATATTACGATGTGCATCGTTCAGATAGACACCACAAACATTAGATTGAGTCTGGCTGTCTTTTCTCGAATAGAATTTCGGCGTGAATAGAACAGCGTTTGATTGTTAACAGATGACTAATTTGGTTGAATAACACAAGGAAAAACAAAAGAGTCAAGGTTGTCGATTACATATTTTATATCCGGGGCAGTTTGCCTAGTTCCTATAAACATTTTCTACATCTCTTATTAGCTACCATAAAATTATCCTTATGCACATCACACCCGCATGCGCACATAGACTATTCTAAGAGCTGCGTTCCCGATGTACTTAGTAGACTGCTTCTCTTTTTTTTCCATCCTTTCGCTCGCTCGTTTTGCATTCTATTTCAATAGATAGTTCTCTCTTTTACATCCGCATAGAAACGGTAAGATTTATTTCTAACGGAGAGTATATTTACCAAAGCCGCATGGGTGACGTTCGTCAAGGTTGTTTCAATTTTTGCAAAGAATTCAAAGCGTACGTAGCTGAGAATGATTTCTGAATTATACACTCTCTAATTCATATAGATTTGCACTTCGTGGAAATGTGTTAGACTTAGCGATCGGTATTATTATTGGAACTGCATTTACCAATGTTGTTCAATCTCTTGTCCATGATATTATTACGCCTCCATTGGGTCTCGTTCTCGGTGGTGTTGATTTTGTCAACTTGACAATTCAGATGAAGAATTTCGTCTACAAAAATCAACCGCCGGTAGTTATCCGCTATGGAAAGTTTATTCAAACAATAATCTCACTGTTGATTATGGCATTCGTTCTATTTTTTCTTATCAAGGCTATCAATCAGCTACATCGATTAGCAATTCGCAAAAAAGAAAAGGCCGAAAACAAACCTCTCGATCACATCAGTGATGAAGTGAAAGTGTTACGTGAAATTCGAGATCTTTTAGCTCGACAAACTACAACAACTTACTCAACTAATGAATTACAATAGACATGCGTAATGTTTACTTTTTATATTGCAGTTCTATATAAACGTATTCCATTTCTACTTGTTTTTTCTCATGAAAACATCGACTTCTCTTTGTTCTTCTAGTTGTATTGTCTACAAATCATCATTTAGAATTAGAAATCAAGATCTCATATCCTTTTGTGTCACCAATTGTAACCAATAAAGCACTAACCCCTCGTTCAATGCCTAGTGGTTAACGTCGAGACGTTGATGAGATCATTTTATATTTATTCGGCGTTGCTAACGAGATACGTGCTATTCCAAACGTCTAGAAGGACTAAATTCCCGCGTAATCTCCAACGAGACAGCAATATAGAAATCTCGGGATACAAATAGACTTATGATATCTGAAAAAGATTGATGGCCGCTCGATGAATGTGTGATAAGAGCTAGACAGGAACAAAGAATATAAAAACATGAGTAGATAGTGATTCGTTGTACGACGCTTGAAATTCTTTTTTTTTGTCAGCGACAGCACATTACCTTGTATTGCTGTCACATTTAAGGTTTCCTTCAACGGGACTCTCAATAGTAATTGCACTTGAAAATCAAGGTATAGTAAAGTTGTAGTTTTATGTTAATGAACGTTATTTTGAATTCGTAGCTGTACGAACTGTACTTAGTGAAACATTTTTACAAATTCAATCTACCTATGAGATAAATGAACTCCGGTGATGAAAATACCAATCGAACGGAATGAATGGTGAGGTACGGTCCATATGCAATCATTATTGACGTCCCAATCGACCGTACTAATAACGCATTTGTGTGAGTGAAAATATGGGCCATTTGACCTTTTGAGACCTGGATATTCATCCATGAGATGGTATAGTTTGTATTTCGTTCCAAAGAGTAAATAACAGGATGTACTTGAAATGTAAAGTGAGCAATGATACACAGAAGTACTCAACGGATAGAAAAAAACTTAAAAAGCGTAATGATTAGTAAATATCGTTGAAATTCTGATAACTGACAGAACGCTAAAGATTTCTGTGTACGACAACGCCCTATGCACTCGGATGAATAACAATCAACATGCATATAGTTTGATTTGTCCTTTTATGATTTTTGAATACACCACTCAATGTCTGTTTGCACGCTGATATTACATCAGAATTGTGTTCCATGGATTTAAATTTATATGGCTACTCGAAAAAAGAATGCGTAACTAAAATGCATTACGTGTGTGTATGGTGAACAAAAGTGCAAATAGAAAGAACGAAAAGGAATAATATGCACACAATATTGGTCACAACGATACGAGTTGCTTTCCTTCTCGTCATCTATTAAACTTCAATACAAAAAGATAGACTTTGTGTAAGACGTGATTAACTCAGCATCTGTGGTACTTATTTTTTTAACTCTACTAGCAAGAACAGCGTAGAGAGAGTTTTGTTATGTAATTCAGTTGAGTTTGATCATACTGGTGAATGACTGACATTGACCTTTGAAATGTTCTTTCGTGCATTTTTCTTTCCTTATCAATTATTGTGTAGTTGTTCAAAGAAATCTGAAACTTGAACACACTATCTTTAGATTCCTTCCATATGGGTGGGTGCTGTCAAAACTTTTGCAAAGAATTTAAAGCGTATGTAGCCAGTACACATAAGTTTATCTCACTTTTTGAAACCATATTGATAGATTTGCACTTCGTGGAAGTGTTATCGATTTAGCGATTGGCATCATCATTGGAACTGCCTTCGTCAATGTCGTTCAATCACTTGTCGATGATGTTATCACCCCTCCATTAGGTTTAGTCTTAGGCGGCGTTGATTTTGTCAATTTAACCATCAAGATGAAGAATTTCGTCTACAAAACTCAACCGCCAGTAGTCATTCGCTATGGAAAATTCATTCAAACAATAATCTCGTTACTCATTGTGGCACTCGCATTGTTCTTTGTCATTAAAGCTATTAATAAAGTGCATAAACTTGCTACACGAAAGAAAGCCGGCAAAGAAGGTGAAGAATTGGTGCAACTCGAAATGGATGACCAAGTGAAAGTTCTATGCGAAATTCGAGATTTATTAGCCAAACAACCTATTGCTACTGCTCGCTAGACTATGAATTTCATATGATGAGTGGCGATTTTTTTGTCGTAGAATAGAAATAAAAGTATCGGCTCACATTTTGTAATTGAATTTTGTTTCACATGACTTTGTTGAAAGAAAAAGAATCTCGAATTTGTTTGTTTTATTAAGTGAATTTTCAACTTTTTACTCATGATCATCTCAAGAAAGTGATAAGTAGAATTTTCTTCACGTTCGAGACATAGAATCCATGTACGAAGATCCACAACTCTTCCAAGTGAATGTCACACTTGACGCCAACAATGCTCGCAAAGATCCACTTGTCACTACCGAGCCCATCGAAGAAGGTGTAAAACAAGCGACAGTTTTGAATCATTTGGTATGTGGGAAAAATAAATACAATCAAGGAGCAGTCTATCAAGTTTTACTTACTCGTGCGAACGATCCAAGAGACATTGCAGATCTTTACCATCAACTTGGATCAACTCGAGATCAAGAAGACAAATTCGAGGAAGCCATTCACTTTTACCAAAAAGCATTAGAAATTGATCGAGAAGATCCTCATCCTGATTTTCTCAATCTGGCTGCGTCGTACAATAATCTCGGAATGGTCCTCGGGAAACTAGGTAGATTCGAAGACGCATTACATTATTTCGAAAAATCTCTCTTCATCAAACTACAGATTCTCCCTTTGAATCGTCTCGAACTATGCAGTTCCTACAACAATATCGGCATTGTCTATCGTAATATCGGTCATCATTCGAAAGCGTTGTTCTACTATGAAAAAGCACTCGAAATACAACTACAGTCGCTTCCTTCCGATCATCTCGATCTCTCAATGTCATATAACAATATCGCTGCTGTCTACCTGAAAATGGGCGATTATACCAAAGCAGTTTCGTACTATGACAAATCGCTTGAAATCAAACAACAATCCTTACCGAGAGACCATCCTGATTTGAGTATGCTATACAATAATATTGGTATATCATACCGTCATATGGGTAATTACACAAAAGCTCTCAGTTATTACAAACGCGTTCTGGAAATTCAACAAACGCTCCGGACAAATCACCCGAATTTAGCTATTTCTCACAATAACATCGGCGCACTCTACGAAAAAATGGGTGATTATTCACGAGCACGTGCGTGCTATAGACTCGCTTTCGATATTGCCCAACAGTCATTACCAGCAACGCATGCACATTTTCGATTGTACAAAAAGAACTTCGATCGACTGAAAGATGAACTATGAGTACGAGAGATCATGTTTGTGTTTTTGTTGATTTTCACACTGAAAAAATGTCATACAGCGGAAGAAAAAGAAAACCGACGATTAAACTGTACAAATATATGAATCTACTACAAAGAACAAGAGAGAAAAGTCACTACAGTAAAAAGATAACTCAACGAGATCAAGCGTCAAAGAGTGGCGAAAACAAACAACATGTATTTTAAGCATGTGAATAAGATTATAATACAACAAATGACGAGATTCTAAAGAAAGACACGCATTAAAAATTGCACACACAGAATAGAAAGCAAGTACATATTGTATATGTATATATTGACTACATATATTAGAATTCATTATTTCAAGATTCGAGACTGAAGTTTGCGAATTGATTTAGCTGAATAATGATTGAGAGATCAAATTAAGGCTCTGTGAAGGATTATCTTTCACCATGATGTGAACTGTCACTGTCCCGTCGCATACTACCGACGCCCTGTGCTGCTTGGTTAGCTAGTTTTGATGCGTATAAATTGGCTTCTTCTTGTGCTTTGCCGATGTTTTTCTTATAACGAATACGTTTATTACCAAACCAATTGCTGACCTAGAATTAGGAATCAACACTATCGAGTATAGATCTTCGGATTCAATCAGATTGTTCTACCTGTGACACGCTGATGCCGCATTTACGTGCCAGTTCTTCTTTGGCTTCTTCGCTTGGATATGGATTTGATAAGTGCGAGTAGAAGTATTCATTCAAAACTTCAGTAGCTGTTTTACTGAAGTTACGACGTTTTCGTCTAGATGAAATTAAGTATCTAATAGAATATCGTAATAGAGTAAGATGTATTACCTGGCGTCAAGAAAACGTGAACGGAGAATCATGACAGCTTCGCATGTGCTTTGTTTCAGTTGTAATTGAATAGATGAAAATTTTTTTCGAATAATAGCTACCATTCGGTCAATTTCTCGAGGTGATATAGGACGTGCACGACTTTGTTCGTGTAATAAATTGATAACATGACTAGTAAAATCATTACATGCTTGTTCCTATTGATGAAAAGGAGACAAACACTGGTAAACTAACATTTACTCCTTCGAATTCTATACATACGTATTTTTCAAGTTCACTATGATATAATTGTCGAATTTGTGATAGTTTTGCTCGATAATCTCCATGTTCAAGTGCTGATTCGTCATTAATACTAGCAGCTGCATTCGCACTCGCAGCAGATGATGAAGTCGATGAACCGCCCAATCGTTCAGGTCCGGCGATACCTTCGGCTAATAGCATATTATCTAGACGCATCAATTGTGCATCTGGTGGTTCGTCTTCAGGAAAGTTACGAATATTAATTGCTAGAAAGAAAAGAAGATCATGCGATCAGACATTCGATGTTCGATATGTCATACCTGTTTTTTCTTTTATTTCGCATAATACTTGAAAAAAAGCGGGTTTGAGTCGACTTTGATTGAAGGCATGTTTTCTAAACAAAAGATTCTTGATTCATTCTCCGATTGGAAGGTTCAAAACAAACCTTGATTGAGCTTCATCAAGACTTTGATCAACAATAGACATGATTTGTTGCAGCATTCCATTAACATCATTAAACGGCTTATTTTCACTTGTATTCGTATCGTAGAGATTATATTTGACATCTGTCGTCAACGGTGGTATCATCGGAGTATAATGTGATGGTGGAAGATTTGGATTATAAGATGAATCTTGACCATCCATTTCCGTTCGATCAATCAGCAATCATATATTGATTTGATGTTGTTTTTTTCCTATCTGATCCGTAGTTTACCCGTCACAATTAACAATGTGACTGATGCTGACTTTCTATTGGTCAAAATTTACTGCATTAGTGCGCTGATGCATAGGAATGTTTTTTTTTCCTGTTTATCGAAAGAATACTATATTGTATTGGGTATATTATCTAATTGGTTACTAGTTCACAATGATCATTCGTTGTTCAGTTTATTATTAATATTGGATTATCGCTAAATCTCTCTGTGTTACTTTTTTCCTGTCCAATGATGAACGGTTCATATAGTAATAATAATAACAATCCTGGTTTTGTTGTACGTCTGCGTGGCTTGCCATGGAATACATTGAAAGGCGATATACAAAATTTCCTTCAAGGTTCCCTGATCGATCTGATCTTGTTTTTCAATTTTGATTCGATCCTTTTTAGGTTGTAAGATTCGTCAGACATACTTTCCCATGAACGATCAATCACGACCGACTGGTGAATGTTTCGTAGTATTAGAGTCACAAGAAGATGTCGATAATGCCAATATGTGCCATCAGAAAACGATCGGTAGTCGTATGTATCTTCATATACAAGATGATTCAATAAAAACAGCTTCAATGCATTGCGTGTATTTCAGGCTATATCGAAGTATTTGAATCTTCGACCGACGAGATGAATCAAGCGCTCAAAACTAACAGTAGTGAACCGAACAATAGCGAAAACTCTCCAAATGCGAATAATGAGAATTGGCGTGAGCCAGTCGTTCGTCTACGTGGTTTGCCGTACAATTCTAGCAAAGAAGATGTGATTGGTTTTTTCCGAGGTACGTATGCATTGATCGAATGACGAACAAAGATATGATCGAGATCGAATTCAGTTGGACAGCTCCTCGGTAGCATTGAACGAGAGAAGGATATATATTATTTTGTGTTGTTGTTGTCTATTTTTTGGGATTACCTCACCTTATAGGACTCGACATAGCTCAGAATGGTGTACACATCTCCTCGAGCAAACCGGCAGGCGAGGCTTTTGTCGCTTTCGCGAACATGGACAATGCCCTACGAGCTATGGAATTCAACCGCATGAATATGGGGCATCGGTACGGTAAATTGAGCGAGACGAAGAAGAAGAGAAAAAAAAATCGCAAGTTTCCTTTTTTTTCATCAAAACAAAGGCGGATTTCTGTTTTGGGGGGAGGGCGGGGGACGTTCATCTAAATTGATCGGATAGAATTATTGTCTTAGCTTTTGCATTTCATTTTTATTTTGTACTGAATTTTTCTATTTGATCAATTTAATGAAACGAAAATGGTCGTTTTTTTCTCTCTCTCTCTTCGACATTGCCTGTGACGCCCAAAGTTGCATATACATATTTATTTTCATTTCGTTCTCGTTTAACTTATTCTTACACTTTACTTATCATTATAACAGCTATATCGAATTATTCAAATCCACCTATGCCGAAGCTCGTGCCTCCATCATGAACGACACACAGTCCACGGCCCGACAGCGTGGTGGCAATGCCGGTGGTGGTAATAATGGACCTAATCAAAATTATGGAGCACATCGACAAAGCAGCTTTGAAGACAATCCCGCAGGAAATGGATATAACAATAACATGAATCAATACAATGGTCCACCACCAAATAACTACGGTTCTTATGGTGGCAATCAGGGTGCTCAGAATTACCCGATGAACAATCAAATGGGCGGTGGTGGGATGAAGCGTAAGAACTTTGAAGGAAGGCCAGATTTTGATAAAAAAAAGGGATTCTCTCTTCAGGCACAATGTCAGTATCATTCACAATGAAAATACGCGGTGTGCCATTTGAAGCCGGTGAGAAAGAAGTGTTTGAAGTAAGACTCGCGATCGATCTGTACGATTCATATATACAAGTGATTCCTTCTAGTTCTTTAGTCCAGTAGTGCCAATACGTCTCGAACAAGAAAATACTCCTCGTGGCAAACCGCCTATTTGGTACGCTGAATTCGGTTCACGCGAAGAAGCAACCGAAGCATTGACGTATGTTCTCTTTCTTTCTAACTCACTCCTTCGAAATGATCTTTCTCATAGATATCACAAAAAATTCATGGGCACACGATATATTGAATTGTTACCGTTATACGATGATCTGAATCGATCAAAAATGGCTCGCACTTGAACATTAACTCAGAATCAAACATTCTCTAGCATTTTGTACAAAAAACGCAGATTGTGTGCTCATTTTCTTTTTTTTTCATTGGTTTCTTTCTTCTTTTACTATAGCAAAAAACGATACATTTTCCCGGAGAGAAAGGACATTGAACTCTTACTTGTTATCAATCCAACAAAGATTAGATGAATTTCAAGCATTCCGCTATGAAGAACAGACGCGTATGTGTTCTTGTACATATTTCGTTTGTCTTCGCACTTCGTCTTGTCCCTCAGTTTCTTCCTTTTATGTGTATCTTCTTGTTGCCATGTTCACACAAACGTAAAAAAAACGAAATAAAAATCGTCTGATGATTGATTTACTCGAAAATCAAAAAAATATAAATACATCATCGTATAGAGTTTTCTTGCAGATGGCTCAACCAACACCGGAGGAACTTGATCGGCAACTTGATGAATTTATCGATAATCTTGTCGATAACAAAGATAATTTACCATCAGCTGAACTTGATGATGCTTTCTGGAAAGTAAGAACATCCCAAAGATCATAATAGCTTTCATTTCTGTACGCCCGTGTCTGCTAGGATCTCGAAGGACATCCATTTTTCATGAAAGAAATGCCAGAAGAAGGTGCTGAGCTCCATCCCGCAGCAGCCGCGTTGCAAGCTTTGAAGTGGGACGACGATGATGATACACCATTAGGTATAGATGTCCAATTCCTAGATGCGACTTTCACAAAATAAATTTTAGATAAAGCAATCAAATTCAAAGACGAAGGCAATAAATACTACGAATTGAAAAAGTATCGTAATGCAATTCTTGCGTATACCGAAGGGATAAAACAACGTTGTTCGGATCCGACTACCAATGCGGTTTTGTTTTGTAATCGAGCAACAGCGAATTTCTACTTGGGAAATTATCGCTCAGCTCTACGCGATTGTGTTCTATCGAGAAAGTGTAAACCGAATCATTTAAAAGCTTATATAAAAGCAGCTGAATCGTGCATGAAATTAAGCAAATATCAAGAAGCTCAAACTTGGTGCACAGCCGGTTTATCAGTATCCTTTTTTGATGTTTCTTGTTTTCAGAGAACACTTAACGACACATTTGATGCTTTTTTCCTTAACACAGTTTTTTCTCCTAAATGTTTTCTAATAGTAATGAGAAACTCATCGAAATGCGTGATCGAGCGGCCAGATTGCAGGTACGATGGGACACTTTGTTTGGTTTCAATCTGTTTTCCGTCGTATTTAGAAAGAAACCGAACGTGACGAAAGAAAAAAACAAGGTCTCGAACGAAAACAAAGAAATGAACAACAAAAAATTCTGAATGTTGTCAAAGTACTGACACGATTACTCTCCCTCTCTCTCTCGTCTGTACATCTTCCCTTCTTAGAAACAAAATATTCGAATACAACAAGATCCATCCATCGACATATTTGACATTAGTTCGAATCCTGCCGGAAGTTGTATACAACTGAATGAACAGGATCAAACACTGACATTTCCAGTTGTATTCCTCTATCCAGAATATGGACAGACTGATTACATCAAAGAATTTCATCAGGATACGAAGTAAAACATACCGGATATTCTATTATTCTACTGCACTCTTTCGTCGTTTAGACTTATCGATCAACTAACGGAGATGTTTCAATCGCGTGCACCCTGGGACGAAGAAGGCAAATATACATTAGATCAAATGAGTGTACGCTTCGATCAGCAATCATTAATTCCTACAGAAAAACTCTTTTTCTTCTAGATCTATTATGAAGATCGAGATAAGCATGAATTGAAGACCATTCCATCGGACAAAACACTTCTTCAAACCCTTCAATTGCCCGGGTAGAGATGTTTGAATGAATTTTTCGAAATATTCTATTACCGTTTTCTCTGTCATGTAGATTTGTCATTCAACTCGGTATGCCGAGTTTAATAGTAATGATTCCTAATTCGGTCTTCGCTAAACACTATTTGAAAATGTTTGCTACTCTGTAATGAACAGTTTTGTTTTCAATAAAAGTCGTTGAACCGAACATTATTCTTTGTTTTCTCTCTTATGACTATTGATGATTCTTGTAGACTACGATGAACATACAAACGTTCTTATGCAATGAAAATCTGTATAGAAAGCTTGCACTAACGCTGGCTATTATTCGATTGACACCGTCGCATTTAACTCCAAAGGATTTTACGATACAATTACAGAATAACTTACGACGAAAACGAAACAACGACGCGATACAATTCGAACAAGTTCTAGTCGATGTCTGTTCACTGCGAAAGTCGACCCGAGCGATCAGAATTCCAACGCATGTGTTGGATCTACTTGATCATCACGGGAGATTTCTTCAGAATGTTTTTACTCACTCTGTCGATCTGAATATCGAATTGCAAACTCTAATCATGGAGACTATCGATCGAATTTTTGAATTAATGAAACAGAACTTACTACGGATTCAAGATGAAACATATGAAATCATGTTCAGACAATTGATCACCATGATTGCTAGTTACAGTGTCATACCCAACATTCAAAAGCATTGTATTCAGCATATACAAGACTTCATTCGATTGATTATGCTGTATATAAAACAGTCAAAAATTACAACCAGCGGTCAGCTACTCATCGAACAAATCGGTATTTATCGATGAATATGGACCATAGTAAGATTCAACTTTTCTTCTTTTTTTATATGCACGATCAGAGTCTTCATTTCCGCTGTCTGCAAACGTTGACATAGAATGTCCATTATAACTTCGAAAATTTTTCCAGATGACACGCGCTGAGCGCCGTCACATCTTACTCCTCGGATAAAAAGAGTAAAATTTAAATAACAAAACATTCATTGACAGTTCAATCGAGAGTTCAGTTTGAGCACTACGCGCTGTGATTATCATAAATGTACAATGTCCTTCATAGCAATTCCTTCTGCATTAATTTTTTTTCTTCTCGTTTTTAGGTTGTCAATCATCGTATTTCTTATTGGTTTTTGAGCAAATACTCATCGAATTGTTTGCTTTGTTCCATCACGCAAATCTCGATGCAATCTACGCTTCGATTCTCATCAGCATCCAACAAAAATTAATTACAACAAACGACAGTACAACATTAGAACAAATACTCAATAATGAATCTGTTCGTCAACAATTCCATGCGTTGCTCTACGCATGTTTAGCTATGAATAATAATGAAAGTTCATTAGTTGTTAGTCTTTGGAATATTTATGGTCGAATTTTATGAGAAGAAAAAGAGTGGCAAACATCTCCTGTTCGTATGCGTTTTTTTACCTATCTTGATTAATGTGTTGTGATTTTTTTTCTTGTTATAAAAACCAATAATCAAGAGGAAACATATCGTAGATCTATTTAGTTTAGAAAAGAATCGTTTTATTGATACGCGAGAGGGAAGAGAGAGAGAGAAGTGGAAAAAAGTAATACCTTTTTTATCCTGTCAAGGTTACATAGAGATAATATAGGATGTCAACATTCTCTCACATAGATTGTTTAACCTTGATTTCAATGAGCCCTATCCGTTTGTCTTCGTGATTAATTGACAAGTTTTACTAACTTATCTATTGTCATTAGAGAAAATGACATTCATTAATTGACTAATAATATCTGTTATTGTCAATCTAAACAAACACAGATATCGATGTCTATCTTCATTTCCGTTCACGATCGAGTCCAAAAAGAGCATAGAGGAAAATGATACAGTCTGAAATAAGGACTCCCTACTGTTGTCGTCTAGCATATGTCTATAAGCAACATCTGGTTATATGCACATACTATTTATTATTACATCATGATCTTTCTTTTCCTCGCTTTGTGCATATATATATATATATATTCGAAGTCTATTGAGCAATGAAGCAAGTCATCTCCGTATACATACATTCACACCAAGCGACTAATAAACAAGAAAAACGTCATGATTACTCTCATCGTCCACTCACATATTCACATACGTATCGTGTAGTATATAGACTCCCCTTCTTTTTTTCTTTCTCTTTCTCGTTTACTCTACGTCTGGCCAAAAAAGATTGATTCGATGGGAACAAAGAAGAAGAAGAAGACGATAAAGAATAAGGAGAAGAAGAAGAAAAAGAGTTGACCGCACATACACTAATGTAACATGATCGATTTTGTTGAACAATAGAAGCAGTTATGTGTGTCCGTATGTATGACACAATTTTTTCAATTGCAATATTACAAATAGTGACGCTTCGATTCGAAGTAAACGTATGCACATGCCAGAACGATAAGAACTGCTCTTTCATTCTTTTCTCTCTCTCTCTTTTCGTTTTATTGTACGATATTTACTTGCTCTATGTCCGTTATAGTAGAGAAGCAAGCCAAATCATTACTCAGAGAAAGAGAAGACGACGACAACGAAGAAGAAGAAAAAAGAATTGTAGTGTGACCTGAAAGATCGCATCATATTCAGTTTTAACTACCAATTTTTATCGTTATTGCTTTCCGATAATACATAATATACATCAAACAATAGCCGAGCTCAACACCTTTCCATCATGACTATAGCAGGTAGTTAACGATTGTCTATTTGATTAAGGATGAATGGGATGTTGACAAATGTGTCATAAAAATATCTCGATAACTATGTACACACACATACACATGTACCTTTTTTTTATAGATCATTTGCATGGGATGAATGATGTTATAGGGCAAAAACCAGCAACGGAAAGTCCAGTAAGTGCTGATTTCAATGCCGCCGATGAGGATAGGTAAGAAGCAATTTCAGATTGTTCAACTAACTTTTTTCTATAATGACGTTTTAGTTGGCTTTTCGAGGAACTCAGCCGAGAAGAAGCAATCAGTACATTACAGAATCAACCAGATGGTACATTTCTTGTGCGTCCAAGTAGTACTATAAAAGGTGATCTGGTCCTCTGTGTAAAGTAAGTCACATAATTAATTTGATCGACGCAAAGCGCACACGAAAGTTAATCCATTAGGGAAGGCTCCAAAGTTAGTCATTATATAATCAATTTATGTCAGGAAAATTCGAAATTGATTTATAAAATTGGTGATAAAACATTTTCAAGTATGAAGGATCTTTTGAATTTTTACAAGCAACGCTTACTTGATGTATCACCACTCATTCGAATTGTAAGTGTTTATTTAGATTGTGTTCGGTATGTATTCATCTAAGGTCTCTTTTCTATTTATTTTAGTGTCCTAAACCTCGTGTACGAACAAAATATCGATTTGATGGCAAAGTATGATCGAACGATTTTTTTTGAAAGCTTGTTCAAGTCGTGTATTCTAGGATGATGAAGATTTACCCTTTAAAAAAGGGCAGATCCTGATGATTATCAAAAAGACTGAACCTTTATGGTGGTTGGCGCGAAACAACACGGGCGATAAAGGGATGATTCCAGCTAACTATGTTGAATACGTTCGGTAGGAATGTTTATTTTCGTGTACAATGTATTAGATCTTCTTTTTCTAGAGATGATGCTTAATTTTCGGCAATAAATGTTGATTTTTACTTTGTTTTCTTTAGTCTTCTTATTTTTTGACAAAACCAAACCACACAGTGACATTTCTTTCCTTTTCTTGAATGGACTTGTGTAGTGTGCCGCTTTCTTTCTATTCAATACGTTTTTCTTTGTCCTAAAAGATAAATATATATAATGTACTTTTCAACATTGTCTCTCGAATGCCAATATTTTCAGAACGAAATCATTCGACCTTCAACATAGCTACGTTTGGTATGAATAGGAGGTGTTCCTATCGCGTAGAAAGAAAATGTATTCTTATCTACGCGAGTGATAACGTAGACATTCTGTCCGTGTCCCTTGTTGATTTTCATTTAGTTTATTGGACGCCCGCACGAAGCGAGCAGTGAAAAAATTCGTCTATAAGACTCATTGAATTATTCCGAAACACAGAAATCTTTAGTAAAAGGCGAAAGATTTTCTTGTGATTGTTCCGGAATCAGAGTTAACTTTTCTACCAACACAAGCGTCTCTTTTAAAGGCATAGCGAACGCAAAAATTGCCTAGTAGACATTCGTCCTTCAGTATGAGTCATCGTTTTTCCTTTCCTTTATTTTCTGAATCATTACGCTAGGTGCCGTTTAGTTTGTTCAAATCTATCATTGTTTATTTTCCGGAATATACAAAATATTACAAAATATTGTAAATACAAAAACGAGTGTTTATTTCTTCTGTTCAAGTAAAGAGCCTTGCATTTTAGCCAACATCTCTTGCATTCGTCGAAGCTACGAACAAAGAAACGAAAGTGATGAGGTGGAAAGGAAAGAATATCTTACTTCTTTGTCTTTTTCTTGAATGAGTCTCTTTTGTTTTTCATCATTGGCAAGGAATTTCTTCAATTGAAGTTTATCGGATCGATAGTTTTCGTAATGAATTTCATCAGTAATCTCTTGTAAGTCTTGCATATGCGTTCTAACAATAGAATCGAAGGAGAAATTAACATGTGCTGATACATGACGTGTTGAACTTACATCAACATTGTTCGAAGTTTGAGAAAATCACAATAGTCACTGTTTTCAATGTCGACAAAACCCCAGGGATACAAACGACCGTGTAATGTTTTTTCTTGAACGTCATACGTTTGTGCAGAAGCAATGATGGCAAATGGAATGGATTTTCGCAATAGTTCATTTTTTTCCTTGGTTTCTTCGTCATCGTCGGGATCACATTCAGGAATTTGATAGATGTCAATGTGATGATGGTGAATTTGTTGAAGAATCTGAAAACACAACAATCCAAACACAAGCAACCAGCCGAGCGTCTTACATTTTGTTTCATTTGAATGAGTTCCATGGTAGTTAAAGCATCAGCTTTGGCAATAACAGGAACAATATTGACCTTATGATGCAATTCTTTCATACAAGCGATATCCAAAGGTTTCAATCTAAACATTCCATAAATCTGAGTCGCATGCGATTCTTGTAAGACAAACCCTCGCGCAAACGGCGAAATGAAATAGAGAAGACAATGAATACGATTGTCGGATATGTTTCGTCGATTGAGGCCAGTTTCATCTTTGAGATAGCGTTCAAATTGATGATCGATGTAGTTCGAGATAGCTTTATAGTTCTCAGTACCATTTAGATTATCACCATAGCCAGGTGTATCGACAACAGTTAAACGGACTTTAACGCCACGTTCTTCGATATCAACAGTTGATGCTTCAATTTTCGTTGATTGACGAAGTTTTTCTATTAGAAGAAAAGTAAATGAAGAGTACGTGAGACGAAAGTACAGCTACCTTGAGCACTAGGAATATGCTGTTCAGGGTAAAGATCAATGAGAAATAAGCTGTTGATCAAGGTTGACTTTCCAAGTCCATTTTCGCCTGCACCAACAGAATGATAGGGATGCGAATATGATTAAGAACGATTTATATATTTACCTACGACCATAAGAGTAAATTCAAAACCACGTTTGGCGATTTTTCGGTGGATCTGTTTCGGTAAATTATCAAAACCAACGAAACTTGTTTGATTATCCTAACAATACCAAAGAAAATACGGACTACTCCTCTGATATTCTCAAATTTAATCTGTTAGTAACATCCTATAGTAACGAAGAAGATGTATCTAAGTCAAAACAAGTTTGTTATATGATAACTAGGAGAACTTACTTCTCATCAACTTTCTTTTTACCATCATTCTGAATGGAAGATCATCAATGAGATGTTTTTCATTGATAAATTTAAGAAACGAGAATGTTCGTATTTCATGTTGATGACCAGCTCCATCTGTGCGATGACCTAGATGATCGCCGCGTTCATCGTACACTTGAACTTTTTGAATTGCTCGTAAAAACAATGAAATATACGATGGATTTAAACTTTTCTCGGCAGTGCTTTACTCAGTTTTAGAATAAAACTACATTCCGCTTGTTACGGATCGTTAGACCTTGAACGCTCTCGTTCAATCGCAAAGTAAAATTCACTGGAGACTGACCGTTCATCGAGAAAATAGTCGATTTTCTTTGTTGAGATGAAGGAAAAAACTTCTACGTTAATATAAAAAAACTCACATCGTTATCTTTTGGCTGCGGTTGATTGCCAGCAGTTGGCGTCATATTCATAACGTTCGTTAAAATGTTACTATATAGTTCACTTGTTAATAATTATTATTACCACTGTTTGTTTTGCCCGAAGTGGTCAACTGATAATTTTTGTACAACAGAAAAAAAAGAAAAAAAAAACGAAAATCAAACAAAAAAGTATCTTTGAATCTGATGTTATTATTATTTTTTTTCGTTCTTATCTCCTGAACATATCATTGGTCTGCTCTCAATCAATCACCGTTCATTCACACAGTTTAAACACGCACAATGGAACTGAACAATCTTGTCATTTCTCTTTTTTGTTGTTCTCTATAGGAGACCGCAAGTGTAAAAGTAAATATAACAAAAACAATTGAAGTCATTTGAATTCTGTCGTCGTAGTTAAACCATGCAACAACAGCGTCGACGACCACCTTTGGCAGATTCACCTGTTACCCAAAATAACCATACGAATAGACCTGTTCGTCAATCGAGTCGCAGGTAATTCGAATGGGATGATCGGTTCCGATCCCCGACCTGATTGTACATTTAGTGTGCCACCAAGTCAATGTTTCGGATGTAATCAACCCATGTACAATCAATTTATTTCGAATGTTCTCGATCATCTTTGGCATCCTGAATGTGTCCGATGTTTTATTTGTCGTTGTGTCTTGAATGAACAATGTTACTCGCGTGAAGGAAAATTGTATTGCAAAGATGATTTCATTAAGTAAAACAAGAATGTCGAAATGAGGAGATTTTACTTGTTTGAGTTCTACTTTTAGAAAATATATTCATCGTTGTTTTGCATGTCAAAATCTTGTACAATCTCATGAATTTATCCGTCGAGTACGTGCTGGTCGGATATATCATGCCGCTTGTTTTGCCTGTTCGAAATGCAAACGAGAATTAACGGATGATGATATTACTGTCTTGCTCAAACCTGAAGGTGCAACGTTAGATGATTCGGATTGTATGTGCCAAGCATGCATCAATCCAAGCAAGATCACTGACGAAACAACTTCTTCATTAAATGGAGAAGAAAGTGCGTTGCTCCCAATACGTTTATATGTTTCAACAATCTGTTTGAATTGTTCTAGATAAAACGAAAGAGAACGGAGTTGTCAATGGAGTTAACGGAAAAGCATCGCCCACGTCTGTAAATAACGAAGAAAAACCGATACCAAATGGTACATCTCATACGGATAATCACATCGATGAACATCAATCGATGGAAGTTGATGAACCTCCTCCTCAAGTTACTAAGCCAGCCGCATCACCTGCCAAAGAATCGTCCCCATATTCGAGTCCAGCCACACCACCTGCGAAAAGTACGGGCCGACAATCGAAAGTTCGACAAAGTACAAGTAGTAATGGCAGTAAACGTTCGCCAGCAAAAGCTAAAACAACCCCAGTGTCTCGTCAAAAGCAGACCACAGGCAATGAAAGAAAAGGTCGTTCACCAGCAACGCGGTCAAAAGCGTCGGCTGGAACACCGTCAGCGTCACAACGACGATCAAGTAATCGTCGCGCAACAAAATCAACACGCTATCGTAAACGAAGTTTCTCAAGCGGTAGTGACGAAGAAGAAACCGAAGATGAAGATGACGACGATACCGATTTCACCGAAGAAGTATGAGACATCAGAATTACTTTTGTTTATGGTTGTTTTTTTTCTAATATTCGTTTTAAGGATAATATGCCAGATAATGAACACGAAACTAATCATTCGCCGGCGGTGAAAACTAAACCTTCAACAAATTCGAACGAGAAAAAACCTGCAACAGAACCCACGCCACCAGTTGTTTCACAAGCGGCAGCCATACCTCCACTACCAGCACAGACTGCATTGAATCCGTCACTGTTGTCGCAAACGAAAATGTCAGAACCTCTATCACTATTGAGTGGACTTGCAGCAAATCCAATGTCAATTTCATCAATTATGAAGCCTGATACAGCTCCTAGTTTCATGCCACCCAATTTCAATCCAGCATTTCCCAATCCTGCACAATTCTTACCGCCTGGCTTTCCACTACAACCAAGATTACCAATGCCACCGCCACCAGTACCAGCGTCATCTTCATCATCATCATCCACAGCAGCGGTACCCACTTCTCAACCACCAGCATCTACATCTGATACAAATCGTACGACAAATGGATCGGATACTGATTCACTTGACCGTTCATCGAGTCCCTCACAAATGGATGTGTCGACAAATGCTGAGCCAGGCACACCAGCACGTCCACCATCGCCATCGAAAGGCTCACGACCATCAACTTCCACTACGAAACCATCGGCACTTTCTTCTCTGCTAGAATTCGGAACAATACCACCCTCAACTCTTGGTGATATACGCCCATCGAATGCACCGCCAAACCCATTTCCTTTTCCATTCATTACACCTGGACCAGGTGTACCATTTTCTCCCCAAGCAGCAGCTGGCATGGCTACTTTCTATCGCCCACCATTCGGTACACCCGCACCGCAATCAACTACAATGCCGCTCGATATGAGTCACTCGAATTCACAAACATCAAAGCAGAAATCGGACGTCAATGATAACGAAGAAGTAGTTTCACAAAACTTATTTGATGACTCATCGGCATCATCGGCGTCACCCAAAAAGAAGGCACGAAAGTCGAATGCACGAAGTAAATCAAAAACAAAGAAGAATGATACTGATGGAGAGAACGATATCGATGATGATAATCCATCGCCGCCACCGCCGCAGCCTGCAGAAAACAAAAAGAAGAGAAAGAAGAAATTGAAACCAGATGCAACTGAAAATGGAAATACAAATGATAGTGAAGAAGGCAAGGCTATGAATGGAAATGCAAACAATCATTCACACAATCTTCTGGCTCAGATGGGTTTGCTCAATAGTTCCTTTATGCCACCACCGGCTGGCGCTAACGGAGCGACAACGAATGGTAAGACACCAACTCCTCAACAAGCTCAACTAGCAGCTTTGTATAATATGGCTCCACACTTCGCTGCTTACAATGCGTTTCCAGGTGCTTTCAATCCTGCGTTTGCTGCCGCTTATGGTGGTGGATTTCCTCCGCCTTATGGATTTCATCCTGCTTTCGGTGCTCCAACGCCAGGCCAACCGTTTCCTTTCATGCCGCCAACCGCTACGCATCCAGGAGGATCGCCATTTAACAAGTAAGCCATGTTTATTTCTCATCTATGTTGTTTTCTATATTCTAATTCAACAAATAGCGATGACAAAACTTCTTCTACAAATGCACCTGAGACTAAATCAGGCAAATCACGAAGTAAAGCTAACGCCAGTGGCGAAAAGAAAAAAGCATCAACACCTCGTTCAAACAAGAAGAAATCTCTCGTACCACCCACAGATCTTTCCTTGCCAATGGAAGGTGAACTAGGAGGGTATCCTACAGCTTCGGAAGCAACACCCCCTGTCGCAAACACACCTGATTCGACTTCGACACCAACCAGACGACACATGAGTGGTACTGAAAGTGACGATCCCGATGAGCCACAGTTACATTCTCAAACAACAAATGGCAAGTCAGGAAACGAATCCGATGATTCGGCATGTGAGGGAGATCAATCATTAAATCCAATCCCATCAGCATCTTCCTCAGCAGCGCCTGAAAAGAAGGGTGCTCGTACAACAATCAAGCCACAACAACTAGATGTAAACTTTTCGCCAAATAGATCCTTTCTTTCTATTTCCATTTCACTCTTTCCTTTCGATTTAGATCTTGTGTAAAGCGTACGAATCGTGCTCAAAGCCGAATAAATCTCAACGTGAACAATTGGTGGCTGAAACTGGTCTGAATCTACGAGTGATCCAGGTTGGTATTTTACACTCCACCGTCTATTTTCAACAGAACAAACATCGAAAATTTTGTAGGTATGGTTTCAAAATCGTCGATCGAAGGAACGTAAAGGCAAAACACCAAAAGAAAAAGGAGCAGCATTAGATGACGATGAGATCGGTGATGACTCACAACCTTCACCTCCAGCAACTACGTTTGAACCCGGCTCAGTTAATGAAACTGAAACATAACTTGTCCATACGAAATTCGACTTGCTTTTTTCTTCATGACCAATCGAGAATCACAATGATATGATCCATTCAATTTCTTGTGTTTTTTTTGTATATTTATGCAATCGACTGATAATCTATATTATCTGCTAGTGTAGGAAAACAAAGACAATTCACCAATCATCTCTGTATCGCAATATAATCAGTCAAATTTGATCTGATATAATCGAAGAAAATCTTTTTGTTTGTTTTTTTTTCTCTTCTTATTCTGTTAAATTTATTATGAAACAATGTAATAAAGTCTTTTCGTCTTGATTTCATCAATAATGTTTTTCTGTACGGTCCAAATGTGGAGAAACATCTTCAGTGAATTCACTAATACGTCGTTTTGGCGATCGAGCATTGGTAAGAGCAAAACGAAAATAGCGTGCCATTTCCTTCCGTACCGAAGCTTGTCGTCCCTTTCGTTTGCGTATTTTAATCGTAAATTCTAGAGCAGCAACAAATATTGACAGAACTAGTCCACTAGCGAGAATGAGAAAAACACCGCCAATATTAGCGAAACCTAATTCAGATGCTAGTTCTTTTCGTTTGTCTTCTCGTTCGCATTTCAAATTAGCCGCTTCTTTCCACCATTTATTGTAGTACTTTTGAATAACGCCTTCGTCCTGTAGTTTTAATATCGTATCGCTTAGTATGTCGCGGTAAGGTGAATCTACCCACGTTGAAAATCGTTTTCAAGAAGTGAATAGTTTGTAAAAGAATCCTACTTTGTGGTACGCCGAAACCATAACCTTTGGAATCAAGTAACCCACCAATTGATGTTAATTCACAGTTTCTCATAATATTGTATTCACTTGTCGTTGATCTATGAGTAAACAATTAAGATTCCGTCAATTCTATGGATTGTACCTACTCCATAAGAAAAGCATAGTTGCCTTGAAGCACTTTGTTGATACCTTCCGTACTCGATGCTACCATAACAGACCCTTGATGAGCAGAAATATAATTCCACATTCGTTCGTATGTAGCTAATTTCGACTCCTAGAACATAACGAGATAAATTCTTATCACTAGTGTCAATAATTTACTCGAAAGAAGTTTTCTGTTGATCCACCACGTTGGACGCCATAGGCAATTTTCGTTTGGGAAGCCAAATCTTCAGCATTTTCAATTGGCGTTTGCATACGTTGAACAGTCAAAAAGGCCGCTAAGAAATTTGACGGCAGGTTTACGAAAGGATTAGATCTTCGACAAACTTACCAAGATTAGCGGTGTATGATGATACGAGAATTAATGTACAAAATGCCCAAAGGCAACTGATCATTCGTGTTGATGGTGCCGCGGGATTAATTTCCGTGCCTAGACAAGTGATTGATAAAAATCAACAGTTAAGAAAGTAATTCGCTTACCTTGGTGCATGATATTACACATCACAAACCAGAGCGCATTGAATAAGGTAAACTGATTCTCTAATACGTCATGACTTGTTTTACATGGATGTGGACTTCGCCATTCATATGGTGACAATCGTGCAGCCAAATACAATACAAAACCAACGACTAAAAGAGAGAACTGAACGTGATTGAAAGAAGATTTTTGACTAATCAACCGACGGAAATACGCAGCGATCATGTAGAGCCAAACATTCAAACTCAACGGTGAGAAGAAGCCGAATAATTTCGGTTTATCACGTTTTGCTTTTTTGTATAATATATTGATTCCAAGTGTTAGAAATGGTTTAGTAAAGTCAATTGCCTAGAAAAAAGTCGAGCTGACACTTCTGCAATCGATTTGCGATCAAAGCTTTTTCTTTACCTGTTCTCGCTGGTACGTGATGGTTAATCCAGCAAGACCTAAATCGGCTCTCTAGGATAATGAAACGATGACATATTTTTAATCAAATTTGGATGTCTTCATACTCGATTGACTAATTCTCCAATAATACCATTCCATTCGCCCTTTTCATTCTTCTTTCCGAATGTTTTATCTTTCACAATCTCGATTTCAAATGTAAAATTGAGTCTTTCAGCTAGCGTGAGTAAAATATCAATACAAAATCCTTGAAAAGATGTTTCGTTCGAAACCGTATCGTTTCCTAAATGAAACCGTGAGAATACTCCCATCCGTTTCTCCCAAATATGTCTTTCTTACTCCACATCACATACGGCGGTTCCTAGAAAACGCATATTTATGACTCGTCGTTCGTATGAAATAAGAGTTCACATACAATTACGGTTGTCACTTTTAATGTTTGAAATTGTATTTCTTGTTTTCTTGTTTCGTAATCTTTCGTGAAATTACGACGAACATCTAGCCGATTTGGGGTATTCGCTGACCAGTTACCATTCTAAGAATAGATCATAGCAACAAAAGTAACAAGAAGGTAGCAAAACATACTCTATTGACACCGTTGGCAACTAAATCTACCACTTCCAATGAAATATCTGTACGTAGACCATTCTCATCGAACTTGATCTTTCCTGTAATCCCATTGGCTTCAAACTAAACGAGAAACCCTCTGATTTTGTCATAGACAGTTGTTATACTCATACCGTTTTCAAAAACAGAGCGAATGCTGCTCCGTGCGACCAAAACTTTTGTGCTTCACACGTTAATGGTGTAACATTAAATGGGCGTTGTTCAACGAACTTGCTCAATGCTCGAGCAAAAAAGTAGACAGCATCGTAAATCAATGCTGCCGACACCTAGAATAACTAAAACCATCAAACACAATCGTTTTCTCGCTCGTAAAATCTCACTCGTAATGAACGTTCGTTTATTTTCAATGGAGGATTGACGTCTAGTACATTAGTAGCGAAAAATTCGTCAACAGCTGGATCTTCACGTCCAAAAAACTGTAAACCAGTAATATTTACTAATGTGTACAAAATTCGATTCCATTTAACGACGGATATGTCCTTTAACCAAAAAGCACTTTCGTTTCATTGAATTTTATCTTTCATCTCCTTACCAAAGAGGTCAACACAAAATCATAGTAAGGCCCGACTAATCCAACCACCTTCGCCTAAAAATATCAGTTTGCTTTCAGATAAAGTTAAACTTCGGTTGACCTACCTGTTGAAAGAAATCATCCAGATGATCGGTTTTGACATCGACTAAAAATTTCGAAATGCCCGTCTCTTGTAATTGTTTCAACAGCGGATGCCAACTGTTATTTCCCGGCCGACCTCGTAATTGCCTAACCGTAACAGTCATTTGGTCATGCTCTGTAGATAATTTCAATAAATCCTGTAGATAGAGTAAATCTAAATTGCAAACAAATGAACGGTTTATCTCCCATTCAAATCGTTATGTTTACTATCAGAACGTTCAGTAATAATTGCAACCTCTTCCCACTGTTGAAATTTGATTACATCACTAAATGCTTGACTCATGGCTGTATAATGAGGGTACACATTGATGATATAGTATTCAACTTTTGTCTGTGGATCCGGTGACGATAAGAACAAAGGTATGTGTAGCTGTCGTGTTAACGAACTAACAAACTCCAGTGCCGGAGTGAGATGACCGGTGAATAAAGCAGCAATACCGGTTTCGATTTGTGCACAAGCTAAAAGGATCATTGAAAGGAAATCTGACCACGCTTGTTTTTCTTCTGAAATTGCCTTACCCAACTTATAAGCAAGGAAACTATTATGTGAGTCGACAGTGTCGATCTGATTGACAACAATTTTGGATTTTTTGAAAATTTGAGATTTCGCATTGATCTTTGCAACAGCGTATTCGAATGCCTGACGAGATAGTCTATCATTAGTATCAAAAATAGCTCCTAAAACGAAGATCAAAGACACGATTCTTCGACAACAAGACACCTACCGATATGAATTTCAGGTGGTAAATCGAACGTGTGAGAAGAATGAATAAAAAACAGAATAAAAATGAGTAAAGCTGTACTGTTCATTCTTCGAGAAAGAATGGTGGATTTCTTCAGACAAATCGATCTTCTTCGTCTCCTCGCATATCACTGATTAGTAAAAAGCGAAGAGAAATTCTTTATTTCCTGTCAGTCGAACCAATTTCTCTTTCTCCATAATAATCTCATCTACCAGAAACATGAAATATGTCTCTCAACATCGATATACCATCATGCATCTTCTTCAGTATTACTTCGATATGTGTTTATATTTCTTCGGACAATAGAACAAAATAAAAGAAGTCCGTTATGATAAATGAGAGAGAAAGAACCGCTTTCTCGTGTTTGTCTAACGTAATGCAATGTCACATCATCATTAGTTCTTCTTAAATAAACATCAATTGTATGTATATTATGTACTTGTTAGCAAATCGAAATCAATCGATCGTTATCATACCAAAGAAAGATTATTAATAGAATCGAGTTTAAAGGAATATTACATAAAAGATTTTGCTTCGAAAGTCAAAATGTTAGATTACTAACAGCTGATGTATTTTGTGATTTATTATAGTTCGAGTTGTACTCACTATGATTTATTCTCTTTAAGCTGACAAATTGATAGGGAAAGACATCTGCTGTGTCTTCCTAAACATTCAAGTCTATTATGTGCATCTATAGAAAAAAAGCTTTTATTCAACTATTTCTTCTTCTTCATCGCTGAAATACGTGGATTGACAATAACGTTTTCGTGCAGGTACTGTAACATCCGTCGTCGTCGTCATCGATTTAATATAATTATCCTACGAAGGAAAAGAAAGAATTCAATTAATATCTATCACATTCATCTCTTCTTTCGTCATTGGAACAATTTCGAATGCTTCCCTTCGATTATTTGCTAAGATAAATAGTATACCAAGAGCAATATTGACTATGATCTTATACTATCACTTCAGAGTTTTCTCATTCTCGCAGCGAGCACTCTCCCATCAGACTTAATCAATTATTGACTGAAGTTACGATAAGCAAACAATCCCTTCTGGTTATTCTTGACAATTAATTGGACATCTAGCCATACTGATCGGACAGTGCAATAGGAACATGACTCAAATTTCATCTGATCTCATGGTCGGCAGATCGAATTCGTCTTTAGATTATACATTACCTGAGTAGTCATGCTTGCGACTAATGTATCATCGTTGTCACTAGCATTGGAGTCTCTGTAAGAAATCAAATAATTATAGCGAGAAAGTATCATTTGCGATATTGACATACGATTCAGTTTGGATTTTGGCTTTAACTTTCTTTCGTTTCTTCGCTGGTGGTTGTCGATCACCCAATGCATTCTTTGGACATACGTAACTCAAATGGCCTGCCTCCTAAACAGGAGATTATGATAAATATCATTTGACTACCATTGCGCTTACACCACATTCGAAGCATTTACTTTTGTCTGGATATTGGCGTTTTCGGAGAAATTCTCTTGTACGGCCATTATCGATAGCTAAACTACATTTCAATGTTCGTCCATACAACTACAGGATAAACATTATTAAAGAGTTCTTTTTCATTATTGTCTCTTAACAATCAAACCTCTTTGCCATTGAAAGCGTCTATCGCGCGGAGAGCATCGTCAGATGAAAGAAATAGAATAAAAGCTACACCTTTATTCTGACGAGTCTCACGATCTTTGACAATTGTGACCCTAAAGTTACAGTTACAGGTAGTGTATCCGTTTAAACGAATTGCCTTCACACGTACTTGACCACTTTTCCATACTCATCGAATAATTTGTGAATATCATTATTTGTTAAATGAAACGGAATATTCGAAAGATAAACCGTCGATTGACTCGGGGTGAGTTTCAATACCTGGGAGCTCATGAAAATAACTGGTTCAACGTCATCCAATCAAAATACATCTGTGCAACGAAGGCGTTTCTTTCGCCTCGGTTGAGTTCAATTTCTATCAAGAAGTTTTTTTTTCTTTATTATCAAATAAATAAACATTCTTGTCTGTCGGCCAATCACTTTCGTCGATGAGTCATCGAACGAAGACGTGTTTGTTATACATGGAATAGAGCAAATTTTTATTGTGGTATACGATCATTTGTCAATGGCCGTTCGATATCGTCCGGGAAAAGAAGAAAGTGAGAGTAACTCATTGATCGAAGAGAACGATACGAGTGAAAAGCCTGTGTCTTCATCATCCGAATCATCGGAATCAGGCGATGAAATGTTGAATACCCATTCTACTGTCGTAAAACGAAGCAATTGGAAAAAAGATCAATGGAATATAGTCATACTATTATTTCTTTATCTACTACAAGGTATTCCATTGGGCATGGCAGCATCAATTCCACTTATTATACAAAGTTATGGTGCTAGTTGGTCTCAGCAAGCAACATTTTCGTTTGCATTTTGGCCATTTAGTCTGAAACTTCTTTGGGCACCTATTGTGGATGCACTTTATCTAAAGCGATTTGGTCGTAGAAAATCTTGGTTAATACCGATTCAATATTCCATTGGAATTGTGATGATTATCCTGTCTTATTATATCAACGATATTCTACTCGAACCAGCGTCCGCGACAACCAATCAACATCCACGTATGTCGTTATTTTCATTGCAACTCATGCGAAACTGATAATATTTCTAATTCGATGTAGATATTCTCTTTTTAACATCAATCTTCTTCGGTTTATCATTTTTGGCAGCAACTCAAGATATATGTGTTGATGGTTGGGCTCTTTCGATGCTTTCAAGGTAAGAAAAACGATGAATTCCTTGGAGAAATAAATATTTCTATACTTTTCATTCAGAGAAAATGTTGGCTGGGCAAGTACATGCAATTCGGTTGGTCAGACTGCTGGTTATTTCCTAGGGAATGTTGTGTTTCTTGCGCTTGAATCGAAAGATTTTGCAAATCGATATGTGCGCCAACCATTACAAATGGAATTACAACCTACTGGATTAATAACACTACCTGGTATAGAACAACGAAAAATACATGAAGCATTTGTTGATTTTTTTATATTGTAGGTTTTCTGACGTTTTGGGGCTTTGTCTTCGCTATATCCACAACATTGATTGCTCTGTTCAAACATGAAACTGACGAGACTCATGATTCCAATGAGCCACACTTCGGTTTGGTTGATACATATAAAGTCCTTCTTCGTGTTCTGCGGTTGCCTGCAGTTCGAAGTATGGCACTAGTTTTACTTACAATCAAGGTAGATATCTGCGATAAACTCCTCTACTTATCTTTCTTGTGGATTATTTTCAGATTGGCTTTGCAGCAGTCGATTCAATGACCGGTTTAGAATTAATAGAACGGGGTGTTCGAAAAGATACATTAGCTCTATTAGCAATTCCACTAATTCCATTAGAAATACTTTTACCATTTCTCATTTCACGGTACACAACAGGAGCAGAACCATTGAATTTATTCATCAAATCTCATCCATTCCGGTACGATCTATCTAAACTCATAACTAATATCTATTTCACATTCGAATAGATTGCTGATTGGTATTGTCCTCGCTATATACGTTGCTGTTACACCGTCATTTCAAAATTATGACAGATCATTTCCTTGGTATTATTATGCATTAGGCGTTTTTATCTACGGCATTCAGCAAGTGTTCATGTACAACATGTTTGTTTCCCAAATGGCTTTTTTCGCTAAAGTTAGCGATCCGAAGATCGGTGGAACTTACATGACACTATTAAACACATTGTCGAACCTTGGTAAGAGTGTTTGGATCGGTTTCCATGTCAATCTATGATTTTTTAAAAAAATACTTCTAGGTAGTAGTTGGGTTTCTACTGGAGTTCTATATTCAGCCGATTTCCTAACTTGGAAAACGTGTTCGCTAGGCGACGGTAAATGCAGTACACCGGCTGAAGAGAAAAATTGTGGGATGTTGGGTGGCGCTTGCCGGCCGTATGTCGACGCGTATTATATCGAAGTGATCATCTCTACAATCATTGGCATTATTTGGCTCATATGGAAGTATCGAACTATCATACGGTTGCAAAATCTACCCATTAGTGCGTGGCAAGTGCGTGGGGACAATCAAAAGTACAAACCATTGGCAACGGACGAATAAAATAAATAATCCTCTTCTTATGTTAAGCAAGAATGAAAATCTCGTTGATAGGATGATTTCAAATCGACAGTGATGGATAGTAGTGGTGAGCTGCTTTGAATTGAAATTTATTGGAAAGCATTCTTGTGTCGTTCTCGTTCATGTGTCATCCATTTTCGTGTTTTCTTTTTTGTAATCGGTCACGATGTTTTTAGTCTATTTTGTTTTTGTTATATATACATATATTAATGACAACAAGCTGTAAGTTTTGTTCATGTAAACAAGCAGAAAGAATTCAGATGATGAAATTTTATTGACAAAAGAAGAAAGAAAACAGGCGATAATTTTTGTTCAATTTACTATTTGAAAAAACGAAGTCGACTATTGCAATATTAACGAAGTGAATGATTATTCGCTTTCATTGGCGAAGGATGTTTTCGTTGATCTTTGCTTTGTTTCCGTACTTGATTAAGCTTCACACCCGTTTTGCTCTTATGGAATCGAGCAACTTTGGCGCGTTGTGATTTCAATTTCGAATGACGCATTCGATGTTCTTGACTACTGTCGTTGGTTTTCTTCAATTTTGTTAATAAGATCTTATTCGACTTCGTCAAATGTTGCAAATGTTCACGACGGTGTTTATCAGTAATACTTTTATTCACTACAGCCGTGTTGATTAGAAAATCAAAAGTAAAATAGATGGTTAAAACAGTTAGAACAAACAGAAAAGAGGCCGAGATTTGAGTGACGCGTCTCATCGTCGGCTATCTCACCATTACAATATAAAAAAAGTTGCCTTTCCCTAGAAGGTTATTCTATGCATATTTATATACATGTGCTATTCGTGATATCGATGCAGTAACATCTCTTCTTTTAACCAACGAAAGAAAGGGAAAAAAGACATCATAGTCGTTCTGTTCCTTCATTTTGTTCTTTCTTTCCTTCTTTTACACCGTTTGTCAAATTTCTGCTCCTATCAACACGCGCACATACATAAGAGCACCCTATATCGTCGGTTGCTGTCGCTATTGCCTCTATCTGAAAGAATTCTTGACGTTAGCAACTGATTCTGTACATCTACTGAAAGTCGATTTTTCGAGATTATCATACATGAGTATGCGTCGAGAAGAAAATCTCGCTTATATCACATCCAATCGACCGATGAAATCACTCGGTCTCGTGCCAAAAAATCGTCTTTATACAGACGAACAAATGCGTGGTGCATTAATCTTCTCGGATTCGGACTCTCGTCGACAAATAACAGTTTCAGGTATGGGAGAGTTCTCTCTTCCACCTGATCGAATCAAACTAATCGTTATGATAACAAGTACGAAATCTAGTGTAAACGAAGCTAAAACAAGCGTTATACGTCGATTGCGATACATCGAACAAACATTTCGGAACTATGGCGTCAAAGAGCAAGACAAAACCGTGGTTCAATCAATAGCACGTCGCGACACAATGTACGAAGTTACTGCTGAAGTAACGGCAATATTTCTTGATATTCAACGGTATCAACAATGTCATAATCAGTTAGTCGAAAAACTGGATGCGCCTGTTGTTCGAGTGCTCGATCCCGTCTTTTTTCATTCGACACTTCGTTTAGAAAATTTAAAGTAACACTTCGCGTATAGCTGTACGAAAGATTCATTTCTCGCTCTCTTTCGTAGACGTCAAGCAAGTGTTCAAGCTGTCCGCAATGCCAAACACACGGCCGAAGATGTCGCTCGAACGGTTGGTCTTCACGTAGCTAAAGCTGTGCATATTGTTGAAGAAAGTTATCAAGAACGAGAAGGCTCATTGTCAACACCGGGACAAGCGGCATCATTTCAATATCTACTCGACGCAAAAACGATTACTGTTCACGTTACAGTGAATGTTACGTTTGAGTTAAAAGCCAAAGAACGACAACACAAGCACGAAGAGAAAACCAAATAAACGTATTCTCTGAATTCGATCAGTTCTTCTCATTCCGTCCATTGTCTTTTGATATAATAGAACAATTTTTGTCAAATAAAACACATTTTATTTATAGAATCGTACGGCTGCTTTTCGCTAAGTTACAGAGAATAAAAGTTCGATAGGATGCGCATATTACGATTAAAGGAAGGTATCGCACGGTGTATGTCTACGAAATTATACAAATATACCGTATCTAACCAGTGTCTACATTTTGCATAGTGTTGCGTCAGATTAATCAAGTATTTTATATGTATAATTCGTTGGTGTTCATTCTCTACTTATTGAACTTCGAATACGTCGAGGTTTTGGGAGACGATTCTATGAACATTTCGGTTCAATCGACTCGATTTGACACTAAATACAATACGTGAATCGTTTGTACCCTGTTATTATCTAATCAACTATTTTCATTATTTGTCCTACGATAAACAGTCATTGCAGTGACAATGTATCTCAGACGGAAAATTTATTGAATATATTATGATTTCTCTTTCTCGTTCTATGCAGGAAAGAAGACAGATACTTGTATAGATCACAAGGCTGTTATTTATTTCTTTATTCTTTTCTGTCGAAAACAAAACCGCCGAAAAATAAACATCTCGAGCGGGAATCGAACCCAACAACCAGAGACTGACT